AATTTGATTTGCATGGAAAATGCTGCTGGAAAAATCTGAAGTAAGTCCTCAGCAGATTTCTGGTTGCTTGGCGGATGTCCTTGTTCCTGAAGAAATAGATGACCACGTTCAGCCAACTATTTGTAAGGACAGGCAGATCAAGTATGAAAAAGGTCACAAAGGGGTCCGTAATAATGTCACCAAGAATGACCCACAAAAGCGGCAAGAGGTTGAAAATGAGTGCACTCAGTACGATGATGAGTAATGTATGGAGCATCTTATTGTTGGGTCTTGGAGGTGGATTACCTTCAAGGGCAGCTGGATTGTCAGCATGGATGCGCCGTTCATGATGTCGGGAAATCAGAAAGAGTCTGATGTACGTTATCAGAACTGTAAGTAGAGAGGACATCACCGTGCACGAATGTATCGCTTGTGTGTACTTTAAGCTCGGCAATTCATGGTTCGGACTAACAAAAACACAAAAGAGTAGATATGGTGTGTACCCCAAGTTCCATTCGGCCACAAAGCAGCTTGCAACTGATATTAAGAAAAAAGCTGCAAAACCAGACATTACAGCAATTCGTGCCCTAGTCACCGTTACAAGTGAAGGGTAGCGAAGCGCATGCACCACTGAAATGTAACGATCAACTGTCAACATCAGCAGAGACACAAGAGGGTTCCAAATGATGGCTTGTACCAGAAAGGCTTGCAGGTTACACAGTGCATTTCCAAAAGGCCAGTCCTGGTAGAAAGCAGCAAATGTCATCGGCAGGGCCAGGAAAATCCCAACTCCAAGATTGGCAGCTGTCAGAGCTCTCAGAAAGACTTTGGTGGAGTCCTGGATGCTGTCAACGCGTCTCAGTACAAGAAGACAAAGTGGGTTCAGTGTCAAAAGGAGAATCGTTGTTACAAGAAGAATGACAGACCGGACAATGTTAAAGTTGTCTGCTACACCATCTGTTGACACCAGTGTGGTTGAAAATGTATAGTTTCCCTGATCCGTAAAATTTGGAGTTGAATTCATTGTGGAACGACTACAGAAACCTATCCTTTGCTCAGGGCTTTTGGTAATAAGAGCAATCAGAGTTCTCCTCCAATGTTCTCTTACTGAAGGACCGAATAAATTTCTTCTTGCATAACGTCAACAACATGTCATCACCATCCGCCAGTCTACAGTCTGCAAAACTGGGCACTGCCTATTTGCAAGATAATGCATCGCACATAAATTGTGGCAAATTAATTACTGATCTGCTGATGTCTTATCTAGGCCTCTGATTGGATGGCACTGATCTTTTTCAACGTTGATTGGCCAATACCCATTATCACTTCTTGCCTGCATGACACCTTCAAATCAGTATTGACATCCAGACTGCAACACAATACCAAGCTCTAACCTGATCATTTAAACTTTACATCATGCATCAGCTGTTCTGTAACCTTAAGACCATATAGAATCCTCTTTGCAATTAAAAAGTAATAATAGCTTTCCATCAGCTTGAAGCAGTTAATTAATTGATTGATATGATCATATACAGCTTCCATTAACTGCCTGAAGTCAATTTTCTACCTTTTACAAACAAACAGCCATCAATCAGTTGACAAATTTGCACACAATGTGGCATCTGGCCTTTACTTTCTGCCCAACATGACAAATTGGCCCATAATGAACACTTCCATTAACTCCTCTTCAAGCCAATTTTCTTCCTCTTACAAACAATGAGCATCATACAAAAAAAGTAGACGCACGTGACAGACATTTTTTGTGACAAACGCAGGATGAAAGGGTGCAACACTAGTAGTTGGTTACACATGTACAGAGATTGACCATAATTGGATGTCATTACTTTTGTGGTCTTTGATGGTCAGTTAGCCATTACATTGGTGGTCTTTAATGGTCAGGAGGCCACTACTTAGGTGGTCTTTGATGGTCAGTAAGCCATTCCTTTGGTGGTGTTTGATGGTCAGTAAGCCATCACATGGTGTTTGATGGTCAGTAAGCCATTACTTAGGTGGTCTTTGATGGTCAGTAAGCCATTACTTTGGTGGTCTTTGATGGTCAGCAAGCCATTACTTTGGTGGCCTTTGATGATCAGCAAGCCATTACTTTGGTGGTCTTTGATGGTCAGCAAGCCATTACTTTGGTGGTCTTTGATGGTCAGTAAGCCATTACATTGGTGGTCTTTGATGGTCAGTAAGCCATTACTTTGGTGGTCTTTGATGGTCAGTAAGCCATTACTTAGGTGGTCTTTGATGGTCAGTAAGCCATTACTTAGGTGGTCTTTGATGGTCAGTAAGCCATTACTTAGGTGGTCTTTGATGGTCAGTAAGCCATTACTTAGGTGGTCTTTGATGATCAGTAAGCCATTACTTAGGTGGTCTTTGATGGTCAGTAAGCCATTACTTAGGTGGTCTTTGATGGTCAGTAAGCCATTCCTTTGGTGGTCTTTGATGGTCAGTAAGCCATTACTTAGGTGGTCTTTACTGTATTTTAAATTTTACCAGGATCTCATTAAATTTTACCTGTCTAGTTTCAGTTTTCAATGTATTTTAAAATTAATCTTCAAATTAATCTTTAATGATGGCCCATTCAAAATCAACCCTGAGGTGACATGGCTACCATCAATAAATAAAGTTATTATTATTTCTAATAATATGTACGTTTTTCAGTTCTGTTATAAATGTCAATGTATAAATAGCTGAATTTTTTTTTTTATAAATTTGATCAGTTTAAGAATTCTATCATTTGACCAAAGACAGTACCAGGAAACTATCTCTTTCAAATTACATGAACGTTTATTTGTATGTATTGATTAGCATTTAAACTTCCCATTTGATGTCACCGAAGCTTTCAAATGTCTAACATCGACAAATGTTGATATCAGCATTTCTGATTAATTGACAAGTAACATATATGTGAAAAGAATAATTTTGTAAAATATAACATTATCATTCATGAGCCTAAAATTCTGACTACAGGGTGCCATTTCGAGAAATGACATCATCATGACTTTTGTATGTGTCTGGTCTCCCTCATTGAACATTTGCCTGATTTGTGTTAGTGAAACCAAATCCTTCCGTTTTCAAGAAACATTCATGATAAATTGCAGTTCTGGTAACCCCAGAAGTAAGAGTCAAGCGTTTTTTTTTACCTGGAAAGACTTAATGTTGTCCAAAGCAATATCTACGGCCTCGCCAAAAAATTAACACGTACTCAATTCAGTTGACCAGAGTTATCGTTCAAAGTATTTTGTTAAGTTTTGACATTAAATCGCTTGTAATTTGATATGTACCAATGCCATGATGACTTTACCAAATTTTCCTCATGTTTGGACAACAATTCATGTTTGTGCAGGGTGTTATCATCATCCCTGAACAGTTTGGAAGATATTCCATTTTTTTAAGTCTGATTTTTCTGATGATCTTTACCCCGCAAAGTCTGATTTTTAAAATTAAATTTCAACAAATTTGATGAAAACGGCACTGCGACATCTGTATTGTGAGCGCAATTTTAATGCTATGATGTCATCGATCTGGAAGTTAGATGAACATGTAAACCAATGCATATATACAAATAAAGTTTGTATTGTTCTTATTTCTGTAGAAATCAGAATAATGATATCATCAGACCAAAACTTATTGTGGGGCAGGGGCTGGGCAGGGATAGGCAGGGACGAGGATGGGGCAGGGATGGGCAGGGGTGGGGCTTGAGCAGGAGTGGGAGAAAGGGTGGGGCTGGGGTGGTATCTCAAAGATGGCTGTAAGATACAGGATCCATTAATTAATAATTCCACATAACGTGATAACACAGAAGAGTCCATTATCTGGAGGTTGTAGACATAACAAATTTTCGGACTAAACACGTTCTGAAATGTTATTTCTTTTGAAAGGGTATGATGTACAATATACATTAGATCTTTAAAACAATGTACATGCCCATTTTTTTGTTATTTCCTGAATCAACATCTAGAACAATGATTTGCTGTAGCGATACAGATACACAGTAAGAAGCAAAACATGATTAAACAAAATTAATCTCAATTGATGATTGGGCAGTCCTTTTTATGTACAATTGATATTTTGCTTGCAATACAAATGTTATTTATACAGAAATTCAGTTGAAGTTACCATAAAAGCTCTATGAATCTATTTTACTAAATGCTTTAACAACTAATCCAACGTAAAGCCAGACATTAATATATTACGTGTTAAAAATAAGCTCTTTAGAACAGATAAAAAGCATTTTTTTTTTTTTTGAACAAGAGATTGTCTTATGTTTTTTCTTCCTTTCAGACGCTTCTGGGCAGAGGTTGAAATTGAGATAGGGCCAAAAAATGCTGTGGGGGTGATTTTTTTCCATTTTCTAATTTTTGCATATTTGTAATCCTCAGTACAATAATGAGTAAAGTGTGAAGCACCTTATTGTTTGGTCTTGGAGGTGGATTACCTTCAAGGGTAGCTGGATTGTTGGCATGGATGCGCCGTTCATGATGTTGGGAAATCAGAAAGAGTCTGATGTATGTTATTAGAACTGTGAGCAGAGCAAATGAAACTGTGCATGAATACGTATGTCACTTGTGAGTATATCGCGGATTTAACTTCTCTGTTCAGATTCCTAACAGTACAAGCAAGAAATAGTGGTCTGAAGTCAAAGGACCATTCAGCCACAAAGCTGGATCCAATATCAACAAAAGAGCCAAAAAAACCAGAAATGACAGCAATTCGTGCCCGTTTCACAGTTACAAGTGAAGGGTAGCGGAGTGCATGAACCACTGAAATGTAACGATCTACTGTCAACATGAGCAGAAGCACAACAGGGCCGCAAACAACTCCTGGGAGTAGAAAGCCCTGTAGTCCACACAGTGCACGGCCAAACGGCCAGTCCTGGTAAAAGGCAACAAATGTCCCCGGCAGGGCCACAAGTATCCCAACTCCAAGATCAGCAGCTGTCAGAGCTCTCAGAAATATTTTGGGTGTGTCCTCGATGCTGTCCACACGTCTCAGTACCAGTAGACAAAGTGGGTTCAGAGTCAAAAGGAGAATCGTTGTAATGACAAGAATGATACACTGGACAATCCTACGGCTGTCTGCTACACTGTCTGTTGACACCGGTGTCGTTGACAAATTGCTGTCTACAAGATCCACACAATCTGGAGTTGAATTCACTGTGGAGCAGCTAAAAAACCTGAAGAGGTGCCAAATTTCCAAGGTGCTAAAACATCAGTAAACTAGGTGTGGCCTGGTTGCAAGAGGATGTGTCATCCAAAAATTATGGTCAGTGTATATCTTACATGCAGACGTCGTGTGTCCACCTCTGATTGGTTAACCCAGATCCTTTTCAATGTTGATTGCATTTGATGCAATAACAGGTCTTGCTTGCGCATGCATGGCAACCTTCAAATCATAGTAACCAGCCACGCTGCCTGACGCCAATTGTTTCCAAACTCATTGGCGTATAATTTGGCATTCTAGTATTTTCATTTTAACCAATGCGGCCTGACGGTAGAGAAGAACATAAACAATCTCTTTCACTGTCGCGGTATACGAACGGTTGCATGCCGACTCGCTGCCTTTACAAGCAATATATACCTTAGAAAAACAAGACTGAGGAAGAGCCAAAGCACACTGCAATCATCTTGATAGAAGCCAATTGACAGAGATCCTTAATATATGGTTATATTATGGGTGTACCAAATTATCACTTTATAGAGACGAATTCAACCTTGAAATAAGTCTAAACTATGAAGTTTTTTGAAATTACTTAACCAGTACGCGCCGGATGATGTGTTTACACGCAAACGTTTTGCAGTATTCAGAACAGATGACGGATAAACACACAGGGAACGAGACCGGAAAATATCTGCCAGTGACAAGCTCGCAGCGAGCGAAGCCAGAAATACGAGTGTGCTGCCCGGGGGTGATGGATACAACCCGCCTAGCTAGAGGTCGAGCGAAAAGTAATCCCGTGCCTTGTTCCATTTTTGGCAAAATAATCACGGCGTGAACTGGTTCACTCACCAAATTCAATGACGCATGCTTGGCGCATCTACATTATTACGCAAACCTACAAACACTTAACAGATTAAATTTCTACATGGCTATATCTGTGTTTGCATTTAAACTGAAATATGTTAAACTGATACACTACAACCCCAAATAGATATCAGTAAATGAAACATGTCTTTACATTTCCCAAAAATTATGCACAAGTGCGTGCCTGGAGATTAATAACTTTTGTTCATTTTAACAGAAAATGCAGCTATTGGTTTGTGTACTCTGGCGTTGCATTTACAGCACATCGATCAAAGTTCTATTCCATCTAATATCATTAAATCTAACATCATGCATATGAAAAAAGAATAAGAATGTCCTCACTCAGGATGCTTTCACTTGCTTAAGTATTCCGCACGATGGAACAAGGAGTTACATGTAATGCTGTGTAAATTAAAAACAGCTCTGCTGGAAAAATTTGTTATTTTATGATGTACTTTGAGAAGACCGAAGAGATCAAAGAAAAAAATTGTGACAACAAAATAAATAGTACAATTACAGAATTCATTGTATGGTTCAACTTGTGTTGCAAGTACATGTAAAAGGGGAATGCTTCTGCAAAAATGTCAAGTAAGTCAGCAAAAGATTCCTGGTTGCTTGGCGGATGTCCTTGTTCCTGAAGAAATAGATGACCACGTTCAACCAACTGTTTGTAAGAATGGGCAGGTCAAGTATGAAAAAGGTTACCAAGGGGTCCATATCAACATCACCGAGTACGATCCACAAAAGTGGTAGGAGATTGAAGATCAATGCACTCAGTACAATGATGAGTAACGTGTGAAGCATCTTATTGTTGGGTCTCGGAAGTGGATTACCTTCAAGGGCAGCTGGATTATTGGCATGGATGCGCCGTTCATGATGTCGGGAAATCAGAAAGAGTCTGATGTACGTTATCAGTACTGTAAGCAGAGCAAATGATACTACGCATGAAAATGTCACTTGAATGAATGGCAAAGTCAAATTTCCTGCTTCGTTATTAGTACACACACAAACAAGAAGTTTGGGCATGAACATGAAGCGCCATTCTCCCACAAAGTTGTACCCAACTCCTATCAGCAAAAGTGCCCCCAAAACAGACACGACAGCAATTCGTGCCCGCTTCACAGTTACCAGTGAAGAGTAGCGGAGTGCATGAACCACTGAAATGTAACGATCTACTGTCAACATGAGCAGAGATACAGGAGGGGAATAGATGATGGTAGATAGGAGAAAGGCTTGCAATCCACACAAAGCATTACCAAAAGGCCAGTCCTTGTAAAAAGTAACAAATGTCCCTGGGAGGGCGAAGAAAATCCCAACTCCAAGATCAGCAGCTGTCAGAGCTCTCAGAAAGACTTTGGTGGTGTCCTGGATGCTGTCCACGCGTCTCAATACAAGAAGACAAAGTGGGTTCAGTGTCAAAAGGAGAATGGTTGTCACCAGAATGATACACTGGGCAATCCCAAAGCTGTCTGTTACACCGTAATTGTTGGGTTCCAGGGTAGAATTCATTGTGAATAGGTAACAAAAATCGGAAGAGATGGCAAATTTAGGACTGATCAGTTTTCTGCTGGTATCTAATCTCCTGCACTAAATCAAGAAAAAAAACACCCACATTTTTTAAGCTGCTAAAGCATCAGTAAACTTGGTGTCGCCTGGTGGCAAGAGGATGCATCACCCAAAAATTACGGTCAGTCCAATTTTTACATGCGAAAGTCATGTGCCAACGTCTGATTGATTAACACAGGCAGAAAGGCCAGTCCTGGTAGAAAGCAGCAAATGTCATTGGCACTTGGCAGGACCACGAAAATCCCAACTCCAAGATCAGCAGCAGTCAGAGCTCTCAGAAAGACTTTGGTGGTGTCCTGGATGCTGTCCACACGTCTCAGTACAAGAAGACAAAGTGGGTTCAGTATCAAATGCAGAATTGTTGATACGACAAGAATGACACACTGGACAATCTTATAGCTCTGTGCGACACCATCTGTTGACACTGGTGTTGTTGAAAAATTACAGTACCTACATGTAGATCCATAAAATTTGGAGTTGAATGCACTGCGGAAAGACTTCAGAAACCAATCTATGCTCAGAGATTTTGATAATAAGAGCAATCCGAATTCTGCTCAAATGTTCTCTTACTGAAGGTCCAAATTATATTTCTTCTTGCAAAACGTCAACAACATGTCATCACCATCCGCCAGTCTACAGTCTGCAAAACTTGGCACTGCCTATTTGCAAGATAATGCCTCACATAAATTGTGGCAAAGTAATTACTGATCTGCTGATGTCTTACCTAAGGCCTCTGATTGGATGACACTGATCTCTTTCAACGTTGATTGGTTAATATGCAAGATCACTTCTTGCCTGCATGCAATCTTCAAAAAACACATACCAAGCTCAACCCTGATTATTTAAAATTAACATCATGCATCAGTTCCTATGTCACCTTAAAGAGCGCATAGAAGCCTCTTTCCAATCAAACAGTAATATAGAATTCCATTAACTTGAAGCATTTAATTGATTGATGTGATCATTTATGCAACTTCCATTAATTGGTTTAAGTCAATTTTCTACCTTTTGCAGTCAATTTTCTACCTTTTACAAACAAAAAGCCATCAATCAGTTGACAAATTTGCACACAATGTGGCAGCCTGGCCTTTACTTTCTGCCCATCATGACAAATTGGCCGATATGAACACTTCCATTAACTCCTCTTCAAGCCAATTTTCTACCTCTTACAAGCAATGCGCATCAGACCCCGCCCCTCCAAAACAAAAACAAAAACAAAAATTAGACATACATGTAATGTGTTTTTGTGACAACCACAGCCATGGGCGTCGCGAGGGGGGGGGGGGCAAGGGGGGGGGCAAGGGGGGGCACTTGCCCCCCCCCCCCCCCCGGAAAAGCCACAAAAAAAAAAAAAAAAAAAAGGAAGGGCAAAATGTCCCTGCCCCCTCTAAAACTGATAAATCGATAATGTGTTGAGAAATACAAGCATTTTTTGGCAACAAAAATTTTTGCCCCCCTCTAGAAAAAATCCTGGCGACGCCCATGACCACAGCATGATGGGGCGCAACACAAGTAGTAGTTGGTTATACATTATAGATCCTTCAAACAATGTATTCATTTTTTTTAAATTTGTTTACTGAAGTTACCATAAAAGCTCATCTATTTTACTAAATGCTTTGACGAATGTTACAACTGATAATACCAACGGATAACATATCACCAACCGATACTTTAACAACAATTGAGTGATACTGTATCACTAACCGATAATGTAGCAAAAAACTGACTGAGAAGTGTAGTAACATTTACTACACTATTAGTCAATTTTTGTTACATTATCAGTTGGGACCAGTGTTGTAGTCGAGTACTTTTTTCCGAGTACCGAGTGCCGAGTACTTAAGTTGCTGAGTACCTCCGAGTACAAGAACAGGTCTCTGAGTACGAGTACTTCCGAGTACGAGTACAAGTACGAGTACTTGTACTTCCGAGTACGAGTATGAGTACGAGTACTTGTATTTCCGAATACGGCCATACAGCAAAAGGTTCATTGTGCATAATTAGCCCAGGCCCAGTCAGACCGATATACAGACTCACTCACGGCTAGCTGTTAAATGTGTTTGTCCGGACATGCACAGAGAAAAATCATAGTATGAGTACTTTGCCGCCCGAGTACGAGTACCGTCATTTCGAGTACGAGTACTTTGACATGAGTACGAGTACGAGTACTACTAAAAAAGTACTCGAGTAGTACTCGAGTACGAGTACCAAGTACGAGTACTACAACACTGGTTGGGACCAATAATGCAACAACCATCGACTGATAGTGCAGTACATTCTACTACATTATCGGTTTAATTGTGTTACATTATCAGTTGTAACAGACAACTAATCCAATGTAAAGCCAGACATTAAAATATAAAATGTTAAAAATAAGCTCTTTAGAACATCTAAAAAGGGCATTTTCTCAAATAGAGTGTCTTATTTTTGTTCACCCTTTCATGAAAATCATCCAATTTTAACTGTGAACTTTGTGAAGGAAGACAAGATGGCTCTTTGTAGCTCACTTATGACAGCTCAAATGTGAGGGACACACCGAATGCTTGCACTTTTTTCATGGGGAGTATACACAACCGATTAATATGGCAATAACCTATCGTTTCAGGAATAACCATCAATGGTATCAATGACGCTCAAGTGTCCTCTTTCTCTGACTTGCAGTGTGTTCACCTGATAATGGTGAATCAGGGACCCGAATGATATTTTGGTTGTCAGAAAATAATGACTAGTACTGTTCTCTTTTGTTCAATTTGAGTTGCACAACAAATGCTGCTGCAGAAATGTGAAGTAAGTCATCAGAAGGCTTCTGGTTGCTTGGCGGATGTCCTTGTTCCTGAAGAAATAGATGACCACATTCAACCAACAGTTTGTAAGAATGGGCGGCACAAACATGAAAAAGGTTACAAAGGGGTCCGTAATAATGTCACCGAGAATGATGCATACAAGTGGCAAAAGGTTGAAGATGAATGCACTCAGTACAACAATGAGTAACGTGTGAAGCATCTTATTGTTGGGTCTCAGAGGTGGATTACCTTCAAGGGCAGCTGGATTGTCAGCATGGATGCGCCGTTGGTGATGTCGGGAAATCAGAAAGAGTCTGATGTATGTTGTCAGAACTGTAAGTAGAGCGCATGAAACTGTGCATGAATATGTCACTTGCCAGTATGTCCAGGAATGAAGTTCTTGGTTTTGATTAACAAAAATACAAAAATAAACTTTTGGCCTGTACTCAAAGTGCCATTCTGCCAAAAAGCTGGATCCAATGGATATCAACAACAGAGCTGCAAAAACAGACATGACAGCAATTCGTGCCCGTTTCACAGTTACAAGTGAAGGGTAGCGGAGTGCATGCACCACTGAAATGTAACGATCTACTGTCAACATGAGCAGAGACAGAGGAGAGAAATAGATGATGGGGGTTAAGAAAAAGGCCTGCAATCCACACAAAGCATAACCAAAAGGCCAGTCCTTGTAAAATGCAGCAAATGTCATTGGCAGGGCCACGAAAATCCCAACTCCAAGATCAGCAGCTGTCAGAGCTCTCAGAAAGACTTTGGTGGTGTCCTGGATGCTGTCCACACATCTCAGAGCAAGAAGACAAAGTGGGTTCAGAGTCAAAAGGAGAATCGTTGTAATGACAAGAATGGTACACTGGACAATCCTATGGCTGTCTGCTACACTGTCTGTTGACGCCAGTGTCGTCGACAAATTGTAGTCTCCAAGACCCACAAAATCGAGAGTAGAATTCATTGTGGAACAGGTGCGAAATCTGAAGAGGCAGCAAATTTCTAAGCTGCTAACACATCAGTAAACTAAGTGTGGCCTGGTTGCAAGAGGATGTGTCATCCAAAAATTATGGTCAGTGTATATCTCTACATGCAGACGTCGTGTGTCCACCTCTGATTGGTTAACCCAGATCCTTTTCAATGTTGATTGCATTAGATGCAATAACAGGTCTTGCTTGCGCATGCATGGCAACCTTCAAATCATAGTAACCAGCCACGCTGCCTGATGCCAATTGTTTCCAAACTCATTGGCGTATAATTTGGCATTCTAGTATTTTCATTTTAACCAATGCGGCCTGACGGTAGAGAACAACATAAACAATCTCTTTCACTGTCGCGGTATACAACCTGATGCATGTCATGAGCTTCATGAGCAATATACATATACCCTAGAAAAACATGATGGAGGAACAGCCAAAGCACACTGCAATCTTCTTGCCAAGACAAATTGACAGACATACACAATGAATGCCTATATTATGGGTGTACCACATTGTCATTTAAAGAAGATGAAGGAACCTTGAAATAATTACTTAACCCACCAAATGCAAAGATGCTTGGCGCATCAATATTGCTACACAAACCTACGAACACTTGACAGATTAAATTTTTACACGGTTATGTCCGTGTTTGTATTTAAAACTTAATGTATTAAATTGATACGCTACAACCCCGAATGGATAATCAGTAAATGAGCATTTCATTTCCCACAAATTACGCACAAGTGCGTGCGTGGAGATTTATAACTTTTCTTCATTCTAACAGAAAATGCAACTAGAGGTTTGTGTACTCTGGCGTTGCATTTATGCACATCAATCAAAGTTCTCTTCCATCTAATATCATTAGGTCTACAATCATCACATGAAAAAAGAATAAGAATGTCCGCACTCGGGATGATTTAACTCTTTTTTTAAAGTATTCTGCACGATGGAACAAGGGGTTACATGTAGCTTTGTGTCAATTTAAAAAATCCATGCCGGAAAGGTATTTGTTATTTTATGATTTTTTTTAGAAGACTGAAGAATTCATAGAGAAAAAAATTGTGACAGCAAAATAAATAGAACAATTACGCTTCAAATTTACAGAATTCATTGTATAGTTCAACTTGTGCTGCAAGTACATGTAAAAGGGAAATGCTTCTGCACAAATGTCAAGTAAGTCAGCAAAAGATTCCTGGTTGCTTGGTGGATGTCCTTGTTCCTGAAGAAATAGATGACCACGTTCAACCAACTGTTTGTAAGAACGGGCAGGTCAAGCATGAAAAAGGTTACCAAGGGGTCAAAATTAACATCATTGAGTATGATGCACACAAGTGGTAGGAGATTGAAGATGAATGCACTCAGTACAACGATGAGTAACGTGTGAAGCATCTTATTGTTGGGTCTCGGAGGTGGATTACCTTCAAGGGCAGCTGGATTGTCGGCTTGGATGCGCTGTTCATGATGTCGGGAAATCAGAAAGAGTCTGATGTATGTTATCAGTACTGTAAGCAGAGCAAATGATACTACGCATGAAAATGTCACTTGAATGAAAAGTAAAGTCAAATGTCCTTCGTTGTTATTGATATTAATACAAAAACAAAAAAGAAATTTGGGCCTGTACACAAAGTGCCATTCTCCCACGAAGTTGTATCCAATTCCTATCAGCAGAAGTGCCCCCAAAACAGACACGACAGCAATTCGTGCCCGTTTCACAGTTACAAGTGAAGGGTAGCGGAGTGCATGAACCACTGAAATGTAACGATCTACTGTCAACATGAGCAGAGATAAAGGAGGGAGAGAGAAGATGATGGGTATGAGAAAGGCTTGGAATCCACACAAAGCATTGCCAAAAGGCCAGTCCTGGTAGAAAGCAGCAAATGTCATCGGCAGGGCAAACAAAATCCCAACTCCAAGATCAGCAGCTGTCAGAGCTCTCAGAAAGACTTTGGTGGTGTCCTGGATGCTGTCCACACGTCTCAGTACGAGAAGACAAAGTGGGTTCAGTGTTAAAAGGAGAATTGTTGTTACGACAAGAATGATACACTGGATAATCCTAAGGCTGTCTGTTACACCATCTGTCAACACCAGTGTCGTTGAAAAATTGTAGTCTCCCAGACCCACAAAATCTGGAGTAGAAGTCATTGTGGCAAGACTACACTAAACCAAACCTAAGTTCAGAAGTCGTGGCAACTTTAGGATTTCAAATTCCTGCTCAAATATGCTCCAAATCCAGGATAGGATGGCATTTCTTTTTGCAAAACATGATCAACAACATGTCATCACCATCCGGCAGTCTACGGTCTGTATACTGGGCGCTGCCTGCTGGCAAAGATAATGCGTCTTACATAAATTGCGGCAAGTTATTTACTGATCTGCTGATGTCATGCAAAGGCCTCTGATTGGATGACACTGACATTTCTCAATTCTGATTGGCTAATACACTTGATCAGGCCTTGCCTGCATGCAACCTTCAAGTCGGTATGAACATCAAGTCGGTATGAACATCAAGCCTGTAACACATATAAACCAAGCTCTACCCTACAAGCGTTGCAATCAAAAAGTAATATTAGCCGTCAATCACTTGACAAAAATGACTCTACCATTTGGCAACCTGGCCATTACAGCCTTCATTAGCTGCTTCAAGCCAATCTTCTACCTATTACAAGCAATGTGTAATCAAAAAGTAATATCTGCTGCCAATCAAGAGACAAAACCACTGCGATTTGGAAAACTGGCCTTTACTGGACTAAAATGACTGATGAGAACATAAACAACATTTAGTATTCTACACATATCTTTCACAAGCAATGTACCTAGGTAAAATAGAAAAACAATCATAACGAAGTTCCACTCTCACTTTTGGAAGAAAGAAAAACTGACGGATAGACAGACAATTCCTATCATGGTGGTTTATCAAATAAGTTGAAGCGGTTGCAACTTGGACCTCTAATACTCCACAAGCTTCTTTTCACGAAAAGAACTGTAGAGCTACATTTCCTCAAAATCATTGGAAAATAATTTCAGATGCTCAGAGGGTGTTATATCTGCAATGCTTAGGATGTACACCCAAAAATTTGAAGCGCAATACAAATACGATAAATAGAACCATACCGTACAGACGAAGCACGATATGGCATGAAGTGCACAGCAGACCCAGACATACATGTATTATAAAAAGAAAGAACAGCTTTTCTATAACGAACAAATCTTCTCACTCGGGAAAATAGTTATTGAGTTATGGCCAATGGAAAACCACTTTTTTCCTTTTTTCCACGGCGAGTGATATTTTACTGCCGCAATAAGAACATCCATGGGCCGAAACTTGCAACCGTGAAAGAGGCTACCAAGTAGAGGGCAGAGCAGAAGATTTAACAAGTTAGCCAGACTGTCCCTTTTAGGACTATTACTTCTTCCAAAAGGAGAAATGAGCATTATTGCAGAAAATGAAAAAAATAAAGGACCAAATAAAGAACAACACATTTAAATATGACAGAAAGCAAAACTACCCTCGTCCTAAATCCCTTACTTTTTTAATTAAGATAGTTGACACTCTCCAAATATGTATCGATATATGTGATGTTTTTTTTACAAGCTGTGAAAAAGAGGGCTCTGAGGGGTATTTTTTTTTGGGGGGGGGACACCATGAAGTTTGAAATATTTGAAAAACATGTTGGCAGAAGCAGAATCATATTATGATGGCTGCTTGTGTGGGATCTCATATTGGTCAGATAACAGTCCCTGAACCACCTGATTTTTCTTTTAGAATCAGGCAGCAACCCCCAAAATTGTAGATGGATTTCATTACCTCCAAATGTAAAACTACGAATTTCATACAGTTGAGCAGTGAAATGCTCTCCAACAATCACTATCAGATGATAAAATCGTCCATTTTCTAATTTGTAATGCTGTGACTTTCGCCAACTGTACTGACTGCATATGTGATGCCAAAATCTATTGCGTAAGTCATAGCATTACAAATTGCAAAACTTTCTTGAACTGAAATGACTGGACAACATGGAATGTCGTGAAACGTACGCAATACAATGTGGCACTGAGTAGAGTTACGCCACTGTGTAATACTGCCAATACCCAGTCTATAGACTAATTTGGTGACCAGCCAATACTGAAGTGGAACCACCGTTCTCTATATAGTGGCACACTCGCGCGCAGGTGGAATGCAGGTTTCCCAAAAATGATGTGCACGCCTTGAATTTAGGAACACATGCGTCACGGGCATATACGTGGTTCCTGCCTCAGGATTACAGGGGTGAGATTGGGGTAAAATGAAAAAAAAAACCACAAAATAACCGGCAGAGGGTTTTGGGGCTGCTCAGGCCCCAAGAAAAAATGTCGGGTCTATGGTTTGTATTTTCCTAAGGGGACCACTTGAAAACATTCATTTCTTTCGCTTTAAATATAAACATTTAAAGTGAACGCAACTCTGCAGTAAAACCTCGGTAATTCCAGATTTCAAATGCGATTCTTCAAAAATCCTGACTAAATATCCTGAAATCAGGAAAAATCCCTACTAAAAATCCTGAAATCAGGAAAAATGCGGACTAAATATTCTGAAATCAGGAAAAATCCTGACTAAAAATCCTGAAATCAGGAAAAACCGTGAAAAATCTCAGCCCTGCAGTAATGACCTGTAAATTCTTATTTGCTGAATTAATCCAAACCTACCTTGTTAAGGCCACGAGGAAGTCCGCAACAGTGTCCCGCTGACCTCGGGTCAAGGACCTGCAACTGGCCATCCTGTAGACGGTGTGGAGCGTTGAGTCCAGCAGCGAGGCGTACTGGTCAGCGTTCTGGAACATGCCTGCGTGTCGCGTCAGCAGGGGTAGGACCGAGTTGCAGAGGTATCGGTTCAAGGCCAGGGACATGTCGTGGTCGTGGGTGTTGGGCTGTGGGGTGGAGGAATCAAAAAAATATGGAGGAAATAAATAAACAAATGAAGACGTGGTCAGGTATAAACAAGATACACTGCATAAATACAAAACGGTCCGAAAAGGGCTAAATGGTGTTGTCATGAACAGGATTTTGCATTCTTCTGACGCGTTGTTCATGTCAACTCCAATTAAGCCAGTGCAGCATGTGGTGTTTTTTTTCCAAATGAACCACACAGGGAAACTGACTACGGGAATTATAACAATTAAAAAGTTGAACAAAGAAATTGAATGGAGCAGGGCTTAAAAACTGCATCCTCCAGATAATAATTAACAAATTAGGGAACCGCCAACCAAGGGCTGGATAGCTCATTTGGTACGAGCACCGAAATGGTTATCCGGAGGTTGCAGGTTCAAGCCCCACTCCAGTCAATTTCTTTGTTCAACTTTTCAATTTTTGTGTTTATTTGAATACTCCAGCATTCAAATAATTATTGAATATTCCGAGACGTTTTCAGTGGAACATTTAGAAATGAATTGCTGTTAAATCAAGGAAAGAAATGGTCCCCTTTTTGATGCAAGAGTTGAATATTTCATTTGCCAATGTCTTTGTTAATTCAATTCTTGCTACCACTGGTATTAATATTGAATGAATTGAACTGACTCGGGCTCCAATACTGACCGTGTCCATAGTAGTTGCAGCTCTCAGGTCTGGCAAGAAGCCAACTTCCAAGAGCTGGAAGAACAGTTCCTGATCATTGATGCCATAGACTCTCTCTAGGAAGAGCAGCATGGCTTCCTTGTGGCTTGGAGTAAGACCCTTCAGATCTGCACCCAGGGGCTTACCGACACCGTCTACAACGTAGAAAAATAGAAACAGAACACTTCCAAACTATAACAAGAAAACTTCAACCCTAGGTATCCAAAACATTTTTTTCCCTTTAAATCCACAAGAAGGTTTATAGCATTTCGTATGATTTAGGAAGGTTATACAGCCAGAACCAGTAATGTAGTGCCTTGATGCTGGGCCTTGGCCTTAAGGCTGCCTTAAGGCTGGATTTTAGGGCCTTGGCCTTGGCCTCGAGGCTTGAGGGCAAAAGCCTTGGCCTTGGCCTTGGCCTTGAGGGTTCAGGGCCTTGCAATTTTGAGTCAAGGCTCTTCAAGGCCCATAGAGTTTTGCATTTTCCAGATAAATCTGTTCGAAATTTTGCTGTTACCATTTTAATCGTATTACATGTACGATGGAGGAGGGAAGCACCATATAGATTTGTGTGTTAGGCACACTTCCACTTTTATAGCATCACATGTTGTTACCATTGTAGTAGATTTGCTGCAACAATATTCCGTACACTTGTGGGGCTAATGAGATGATCACTTTAATTGCATATAACTATGGAATAGATTTGATTGGTTGTATATGTCTCCCTGATAAGTGCTAAAGATTTGCATGTATCTGTTTTAGATAATGCTGATATTTCTGACCATGTTGGGCCAGCAAATAAAAATTTCCCAAATCAGTTTCTTGGATCCCCCTTTTGTTACACTTGGGAGAATTGTGTGTCAATATAGAAGTAAATCATTATTTTGTTTAGTTAAACCATATTGAAGACCTGAACTTATACGTTAATAGATACAGTGCAGTCATAAAACGGTGTAGGCCTATGCGAGCATGTTGATTGCAATTAAGAAATGTTGTTCTTCGTAACGAGCAATTCGTGATGATAAGGCCGGATCCAGGGGGGTCAAAAGGGGCCACGCCCCCCCCCCCCCCCAAAAAAAACGAAACCATTTTTTTTTATGTGACGTCGTAATAAAGGCAGGCAATGAGTACACCACCATCTTTTCCTAAATAAACATCGGTTAAAATGGTCAGAAATTGCCTCAAATCGCACCACAGAGCATCTCGAATCCAAAATTTTTTTTGGGCCCTTAAGCGGGCCCCGAAGCCCAAGCCGTAATCTTTTGACCCACTTTTTTTTTGGGGGGGGGACCAACATTTCTTTGCCCCCCCCCCCCCCAATTGTGTTCTGGATCCGCCCTTGCGTGATGATGTGTCACTCATGTGACTATAATTAGTTCTATATCAGTGGTCATTTCATAAAACAGGGCCTTGGCCTTGGCCTTGGCTTTGAGGGTTAAGCCTTGGCCTTGGCCTCGAGGCTTGAGGGTCGAAGCCTTGGCCTTGAGGGTCAAAGCCTTGGCCTTGGCCTTGGCCTTGAGGGTCAAAGCCTTTGCTCCAACACTGGCCAGAACACTGTTCTATTTATGGGAATTTCATTTCATTTATTTAATATTGAGTAATTTCCCTTGTGCTAAAACCATGACACAAAACTTTAAACTGACACCAATATGAAAAAGGGGGGAAAAATTACAACAATTGTGGCTGTGCTCCGTGGTCAGACATGGGTTGTACGGCAGCTGCTTAAGACACCTTTAAAATGTATACGCCTTCGGCTCAACCACGTTGTAGCCGTGTCCTTCGCAATTCAGCTTCTCAGCTGCGAGTAAGGATGATTAGCCTCCCAAATTATCATTATTATTTTTGACTATGCACAAATTAATAAACACAAATGTATGTATTTACATACAATATTAAGTTGCAGTCATTTAACAATGCATGTATTACACGCATAACACAAAAAGACACACCAACATTAAATAAAAAATCTTTTAAATCTTGAATAAAAAATTCTTTCTACTTTATATAACTGCTTTTGGGAAATGCAGTTTTCGCACACATTTCATTACCAACAACTGACAAAATATCCCAAAACACAATTTAAACAAAGTCTAAATCCCTAGCCTAAAACAAAACAAAATAAACAAAAGGAAAAACACTCACCATCTTTCTTCTCGTAGACTTTATTGGGAGACGGCAGGACGAACTTGAGACTGAGAACACCGACCAGGTCAGGCAGCGGCACCAGACTACAGAGAATGGAACGGATCCGCTGGGGCTCAGTCCGTCCCTGGCTCAGGAGCTGCTGGTCCGGGGCACAGCGACCCAGGAGGTCAATCAGGGTCGCGTAGAAGGTCAGAATAGCGCCACCAGTGTCCACTTCATCCTCGTCTTCTTTGATGTCAATGTCTGGCCTGTGCGAATTATGAAGCACAAAAGAATTGAATGTGACCAAGGTACACATATTCATAGGATTCATTGTACAGTGTGCACCCAATCAATCAATGAAATTCAATCACTTTCCCATGAGTTTTCCAGGACAACATTAGGGCTTTGCATGATCAATTCCTGTGCTGTGCTATTATCTTAGAAGCTATTTACAATAGATCTCTCTCAAATGATGCCACTTCCTACAGGTTGTCATGTGCATCTGCATTTTGGGCGTCTAGGTTTCTTAACGTGCATCGGCTGCGCTATATTTCAAAGAAATTGCGAGTGTTTGCACACTGAGCACACATGCACCTGATGGTGTTGAACACGTAGTTTTAGTTTTCCTACGAAGATGGCCGTCTATGAGAGGGGTCTATACGCTGGCCAGTCATAACGCAGAGGCAAGGAACGCCAATCCCTTTCAGCCATCTACAAAATGACACAATTCTACTCAGCACCACCAAAGCATCACATTTTGCTTCTCACTGTGGTGGCCCTAATTATAGCTTCATCCCTTGAAATTCCAATGCACAGCGCCCTCAGTCGGTTAGGAATAAGAGCAAACAAACCCACCCTTGGGAAACCAGTGGCTGGCTCTCCCCGCCTTCCTCCATCACCACCACCATGGCCGGTGTTCCCGTCACAAACATGTCCTCCGACGAGTCTGACATCAAGATGGCTTCCTCCATGGCAGCCAGCAGGCCCTTGCCTTCACCGCGCAGGGCCGGGCCCAGGCACTCGGGATGCCTGATCAGGAGACGCACCACCAAGTTGGCATTCTCCTCTACTGTTTCTCCTGCAAAAAAGATTACAAGAAAGTCAATAGACATTTTGCGCATTTGTTCATTTCAGTTCATTTTGCTTTTGAGGATGATCCTGCAAGGAACGGAACATCTGGCACTAAAACTTTTTTTGATTTTTATAATAAGCTGCTTACAGCAGGTTTGTTTATTTTTCATATGGATTCTTGAGCAATTTAAGAAGTTCATCAACACATATCTGTTTCATTTTTTTATATGATTTTTTTCTGTTTTACTTGTGATGTTAATATATTTAACATGATGAGAAGCTTGATTCAATTTTTTTGAGAGGAGCATCTTCAAATACTGATCATTATTAATATTTCTGATAACGTAAAAAAAGGGGCATTCAAAGTTCAAACATATTATAGGTAGAGGGCCTGAGGATTCCTATTAAGAGAAAATAAAATGTTTCGTTTTAGAGGTAGGAGTAAAACCCAAAATTATAATTGAGGGAACCCACAATGAAATGTCTAACATTTTCGGATTTATTATCAAGAAAGTTTGATTGATGTACGTACCATTGACCCAGACAGCATGGCGCATGAAGTCCAGATATCTCTCTCCATCCAACGGATCCCAGCCTACCGACGGCTTGCCAATAGAGATCAGACGAGAGTTGTCCTGAAATCATACAAAAGCACAGCATAGTTTTGCTCCATGGGTTGGCTGGGGGAGTCTTATTGACAAAGAGTTCATACTGTACTTTCAAAAACAATTCTGCTTTGAGAGAACACCAATTAAAACATGTACAAAATCTTCAATTGAACCACAAAGGGAAACTGACTACGTGAAATTATAAAAATTTGAAAAAGTTGAATAAAGAAATTGACTTGAGCGGGGTTTGAACCTGCCACCTCTGGATTGTCGTTCCAATGCTCTACAAACTGAGCTACGGTATGTTGGCGGTTCCCCAATTTGTCAATGTCTTTGTTCAAGGGGCGCTAGTCAGAAGCCATAAACCCATATATGCTATACAGCCAGGGATCACGCCCAAAGTCACGATCGATGCAGACGTGGGAAATAGCAAACGGGGATCACTCAGAGAGGATGCGGCTTTTTATTACAAATTTTCAAATGAACCACAAAGGGAAACTGACTAAGTGAATTATAACACTTTTTGAAAAGGTGAATAAAGGAATTGACTGGAGCAGGGTTTGAACCTGAGAAAAAAAAATCTGGCAACGTTGCTTTCTTAGTGAAAGTAATTCTGATGAAGTGCAAAAGGCCTCATGACTTAGTCACTCGGCTTGTGTAGCCAATGCTCAATACGCGCCAGTGCAGTGTTGTAGTACTTGTACTCAGCACTCATACTCGAGTACTACTCGAGTACTCATACTCGTAATCGTACTTGATTGTCAAAGTATTCGTACTCGAAATGACGGTACTCGTACTCGGGTAGCAAAGTACTCGTACTCGACATGTTGAAATTGTACTCGATCATTGGAGTACTCATACTCGAATAGCAGTACTCACCAAAAAATGGTATGGCTCGACTTACCACAGCCTTATTTTTCAATACTTTCAATTTGAAATGGTTGATTGGCTTGCAAAGAAATCTAACATTCCTGATTTTCTGTGCACGTCCGGACAAACACATTTAACAGCTAGCCGTGAGTGGGTCTGTATATCAGTCTGACTGGGCCTGGGCCAATTACGCACAATAAACCATTTGCCGTATGGCCGTATTCGGAAATGCGAGTACTTGTACTTGTACTCGGAATACGAGTACTCGTACTCGTACTCGAAGTTCGTTTACTCATGCTCAGAGACCTGTCCTGGTACTCAGAATTACTCGTACTCGTACTCGGTAACCTAAGTACTCGGCAGTACTCAATGCTCGGAAAAGTACTCAACTACAACACTGCACTGCTTCACTGCTCAATCAAATGCGGCCAAATAGCCTTGTCAAATGCTAAGTTGACCCCAATTGACCTGCAGTCATTTTACCTGTATGCCACAGGTAGATAAGTACACCACCACTCGCTCCAAGTGCTGCTCCCGTAGTGCTAAGGCCAGCTCGTTGTTATCCATGAGTGACGCTGCAGCGACGTCCAGGGGGCAGGAACCTCGCAGGGAAGGATATGCTATGTGATCAGGGGAAGTAACAGCAGTTATTTACAGGTATGACACGACAATGTAGCTATTGATTTTTATTTGTGTTACAAACTGTTAACACTATTGTGCCTGAGCCAACTAGCATGTTAGTGGTAAAGTGGAGTTTCAAGTTTTTGAGCAGGCATAATATTTTACCCTTGGTTCTAGCGTTTTTCAGGTACTTGTGCTAAGAAGTAGTAAAGTGGATTGTCAAGTTTTTGATCAGGCATAATATTTGACCCTGAGAAAAAGATAGGAAAAAGTGTTCTGCAGACACCCCAGAAGTGTAAAGTCTAAAGTACAGAATGCTAAAAATGAAGAAAATAATAGAAAATGACAGGAGAAAAATTTGAAAATTCTATTAATATAGGAAAACTATCATGCCTGTTTTTGAGTCACTGCAGTGAGAGACACATTCATTCTGTTGTTGCTATCTAGAATGATACTCTGATCGCAGGAATTTTTGATTAAATTTTTTTTCAAAACATTCCTGGGAACCTTCCCTGAATCTTCCAAAATCCTCCTCTTTGTAGGAAGTCAATAGTGCAATCGTTATGTACTTACAACTTTCAAACTTCTCCCTTCTGGATTTTAAAGGAACTGGGATGGTTAGGGTTAATAGTACTTCACCAATTGTCCAGTTTATGATCAAGAACAAACTAATTTGCGAAACTGCAATGCCATGCAATGTTACAGACCACAGCCGAATAAACAGAACGAAGAAACAACATTTTCTACTTTTAAGGTATCAAATTTGTTTTCTAAAGTACAAGCATTTTTGGATGCACTGATATTGGTATCAAATACCACATACAAATAGAATTTATGAAGGAAAAAAATTTCCGTCAGTGTTTTGAGTTCATTTGCTTTAGCATTTTAAGGTTCTTTTTCTAAGACAACCACACAATTTTGCAATTTTTTTTACTTACATGATCCCATGAAGCCATGGTCCAGTAGGTAGCCACAGTTACCACAATATTTTTGTGCTAGACAATCTAGTTTTCCTTTACAACTTTCCTTTAGTTTTCCTTTACAACAGGCAAAATAATTTTCCCAGCATACTGCAGGATTTTCCCAGTATTTTTTCCTTACATATTCTCACTGGGGTATGATCCGGTAGGTTGTCAAGGTTCTCAAACACTGTCTGTCTATAACCACACTTTTCCTTTACAACCTGCGGAAAGGATTTTTCCCAGCACTTCCTGTATTTTCCGGGATTTTCCAGGTTTTTGTTTACTTACATAATCCCATGAAGCCATGGTCCAGGAGGTAGCCTAGGTTATCAAACATGGCTTTCTGGTTCTGCCGGCCGGTCCGGCAGAAATAACAGAGGAATCGGCAACAGCTTGAGGTCAGGTCCCTGGATCCCTCATCCTACAAAGGACCCCCACACACACGGCACAGCAAACAGGGTCAGACAAAGGGTGAGACAGGGGAAAAAACAGGACGGGGTTTGTTAGTTGTGAAACGCTGGGTGTCCATTCATTCCCAGGTATTCTTACATTCAAGGGCATCTTCCTTGATTTTTTTTTTATAGATGTTAACTCTATTATCCTTTTCTTTAACGCTTATTTCTTGTTTAATTATCCAGATTGTGTGCCTGTTGGGTCATTTTTATAAAGTGAACAAGAGACAGAAGCCAAAGGTTTAATGGATACCCATAAGCAGAGTTGTAAAAACTCGAGTCAATGACTTGACTCGAGTCCAACTCGAGTCACAATTTTTGGCAACTCAAATCGACTTGAGTCCCAAAGGGTAACTGACTCGACACGAGTCCAGTCACTGTCAGAAAATGACTCGACTCAACTTAAGTCCCTCATCAGAAGACTCGACTCAACTCGAAGGCTAATAACACTCAAGTCCCACATTGTGCAAAAATATAATTATTTGCTGTGACTTAAGGTACAAAGTTATTTATGTACGCATGCTTCGCATTACCGTCAAGGTGTGGCCGCTTATCGCGTAGAAATATATGCCTAATGACTCCCACCTCGTGGTTCTATAATGTTGCGCACAAACTTCTATCCTGGAACCAGACTTTTAGTGCATATCCCGATTCTTGGTTTCATAACTGGCATCGGGCAATTTCTTAAGCCCTTAATGAATGGCTAACTTTATGTCCTGCTTTCAAAAAATAATCAGATATGTTTTCTATATAATCAGAAACAGTTTCGTATATTGCAATTTGGTTTTGACGTTGTCAGTGTAAAAATAATTCCAGGCCTGAAGCCAAATCAGACATAAAACCAAAGTTTCACTTCTTGTTAACTGTTACGTAGACCATTTCAGCAGAAGCTGTCTATTTGGTACCATGCAGCACATTTCAAGTCTTCCTTCTTTCATTCTGTAATTTAGAAGATGGCGTTCAAATATCAGTAACTCAAATTGACTCCGACATAAATTATGACTCAACTCAACTCGATTCGACCACACACTGTGACTCAACTCGACTCGACCTTCTTGACCTAATGACTCGACTCGTCTCGAGTCACTTCCTTAAAATGACTCGACTCGACTCGAGTCACAAAATTCATTGACTCGTTACAACTCTGCCCATAAGCATGCATAACAAACGCCATGCATAATTTGTTTACAGCGCACGGTTCCTATCTGCCTTGTGGCAGCCAAAAACCGCATAAAACGTACCATGACAGCCAGCAAACTTTAAAAAAGTAATCATCAATTTAGAATTGAAGGTACCTTGCTGAAATAATTTGATAGTGAATATTGGTCACTATCAAAAAAAGATATTTCCGTAAAATCAAGTTTTGACCGTTGTAAATTTACAGTTTCAAAACCACAGATATGTCAGGAGAAACGGTCCCAACAATTATGTTAGTACAAACTGCGGACAGAAGAACTGCAGCACCGGATTAAGACAAACTTTCTAACTTGATTAAGAAGGCGGCAGAATATTTTCCTCTAAAGCAGCAGGGGGGAATCTGTTACGAAGCTTCAGAACAAATGGACAAAATTGGCTAATCAGCAATTAGTTGCGTTTTTTTGGGAACAGTCCACACAATTTAAGCAATTTTTTTAATTTTTGCATGCAATCTACCAAACAAGAAAAACCAAATCAAAATCAGCCAAAGGACTTGGTTTTCGTCTTTTTGTGTCTTTGCTGGTCAACTTACAGAGGCCAATGTCGCTCTGATCTAGGAAATAATTCAGATGGTCAAAAATGGCCATCTGGTTCCGACCACTGGTTCGGACAAAGTAGCTGAGGAATCGCGAGCAGGCCGTGATCAGCTCGTGGTTGAAGTCCTGAGGAACGAGGTTTGGACGCTTAAAAATTTTCACAAATTACAAATTTTCACAAAGTGAAATCCACAATGGTTGATATTCTCTATTCAGATTATAAGCAATTCCACTTGAGCTGCATTCATCATTGAATACATTTTTCAAAGATGTCATATACACAAAAAAATAATAAAGGAATTTTTAGCCCATTAATTCGGACTACATTTGGATACTTAATATTTCTAACACAATCTGTGAAATTTTTTTAGAATGTGGTTTTGCCTTTATGTTTATTTTAAAATGATTTTAGGTTCAGTTCAAGAAATGTGTAACCCCAAACTTATAACAGCAATTTCTCTTCACAAGATGAAATTTGCATCGGCGTGATGTAAATCAATAATAGGTTTTGCCCTGTAAACTCTGTAAACTCAGCATGTTACCTCCCGAGTGAAAGTTGGAAAAGATACGTCGGTGAAGGGCAAATCCTAATATTGATTTACATCCCCCAAACGCGTATTTCATCTTATGAATTGTTTAATTGCGGTACCCGCTGCTACATGTACATCAGATTCTACCCAGCCAACCAATCCTGATAGCTCGGTGGTCGAGTGGTAAGACGTCTGCACTAGAAAGCAGGAGGTTGTGGGTTCGAGTCCCACCCAAGTGATTTTTTTCCAACTTTCAATCGGGAGGTAACACACAGAGTACACAGCGTATATACGTCAGTGAAGGGCAAAACCTAATATTGATTAGCAATATCTCTGTTTCACCCTTTCACAATCTGTTTTCAAAATTAACATCCCATGGTAAAGTGAAAGATCTCTATTTCATTAATGCTAAAAAAGCACAATTTTTTTTTAACCTGCCCAGTAGAGTCAATTTTTTGAATTTGCAGTAGCACATCACAATTAATCAATTTGTCAAAAATATAAATTCCACAATATGTAAATTTCCAGCTTAGACTGACCTGAACTTTAGCCGAGGTGGAGGTCGAGCTGACTTGATGTGGTAGGGTGCGGCTTCCCCTCATTGCACCCAGGTCACAGCAGCCCGTGGTCAGCTGGACAGCCGTCTGGTGCTTCTCCAGGACGTTGACCATCACGTTCATGACCGTCTCGTGGACGCACAGGGCCCGCATCAGGTCAGGGTGCTGGTAGAAGACTTTGTTGTCCGTTAACTCCCTAGGGTAATCCAAAGCAAGAAACACTAATTTAATATTGAACACAAATTTGTATTTCTATCTGAAACATCTAATGCTTATTTCTGGCAGGGTCCCCACAGAAATCTTAAAATGAAATTCCTTGACTTTCCACGATAGCTTTAAATTCCGGGATTTTCCAGGTTTTTTCCACGACTGTGGGAACACCGATGTTTGGAGAGAGGGTGGTCAAGGGTGTGGATAATGTAATCTGTACTCACCACAGGTGTTTGATGAGTGCATCTTCCTCTACTGACCCCATCTGGACAGTCAAGAGTGACCTGATTTGACCCAGGGAGGTCAAGAGATGCACAATGTCCTCTCGCTGGATGGCACTGACCACGTAGGTCTTGTTCAATGCTCTGCAAAGCTAAGTTCACAAAAAGATGGGCAAAAAATGTCAAAAGAATGGAGTGACCTACAGATTTTAAATCCCCTCCTCCCAAACTGGAGCTAAACCAAATTACAGAGTGCTACACTGGTATTACTGACAAGTAACGGATCACATTCCAGGCAGTAACACCAAAGAAATAGATGGAACAAGACTAGACCTGCTGTGCTCAAGTGTGAGACTGGGGGCATTAATACCATAAGTTAAGTATGCCAAGTTCAGGACCATTTATAAAACGTGCTCATTTCATACTTTTTTGGGGGTAACGAATGTATTTAAAACCAGGTACAGCATTCATGTAAAGTTTGGACAGTAGCAAATTGGTTAGGGCAACGACAACTATAACAAAATTTATTGTATGAGTGAATACATATTATTTACTCATGAAATTTGCTTTGGTTTCAATTTATAAGATTTAATTTGATTTATTTTCAATCATCACATTTTAAAGTACTACGCATCATTGTTGTAGTCGAGTCCAACACAAGTCCTTTCGCAAGTCCAGTCACAAGTCCAATAAGTCCAGTCACAAGTCCAGTCACAAGTCCTGTCATAAGTCCAGTCACAAGTCCTTTCATAAGTCCAGTCGCAAGTCCAGTCGCAAGTCCAGTCGCAAGTCCAGTCGCAAGTCCAGTCGCAAGTCCAATCACAAGTCCAGTCACAAGTCCAGTCACAAGTCCAGTCACAAGTCCAGTCACAAGTCCAATCACAAGTCCAGTCACAAGTCCAGTCACAAGTCCAGTCACAAGTCTAATCAAGTTTCCTACGGCATTAAGTACAAAGTTGAACTGGTCCGAAAACAACCAAAAAAGCAATTTTTTTTATTCAGGTAAGGCAAGCAAAATGTCAAAGACCGCAGAGAAGGTAAACATTGCTCCTTCCTCCCACTTCGCCTAAGGAAGCAGAAAATGCTACAAACCACAAATGCAAAGATAACATACCTCCCCAACACCGTCATACTGTCTGTGTAGAAGCTTGAACATTTCCCTGACCAAGCAGGCATCTTTGACGTGCTTCTCCTCAGCCCATCGGATCATGGTCTCCGAGATCAGATAGGACAAGGAATCTACGACATATGGTGGGTGGGAAAAAAAGGAGAACGATTACTGCCATGGTTTGATTATCACATGAAGGTCACAAAATGCAGTGTGTATGGACTCTGTGCACAAGTACACCCTTAATGGCGAACAATTACAAAGAGTAACGATTGTTAAGGACAGTTTTAATCATTTCCAATAACAACACCACTCAAAATCCAAAGAAGAATGTTCAAAACCGAACCTGTTGAAGTCTCAGTTCAGTGGATGTTGCACTTTTCGAGAAAACAGTGAAAAAAAAACACGCACAACCTTCTGATCACGAAATACGTTTCGTCAATAGCACTCTGTATTTCCAAAAATCAGTCAATTAACTGATTGTTGGGGTGTTTAGTGCCAGTGTGATTTTTAATCCAAGTAGGCTTTTTGCTAATAATTCGGTGGGTTACGTTTGGGATAAATGATCCTATATGCTTTTAAAACATTGCTGCCATGCAACATTTTGGATTATAACTCCTTCATATCTTCGGACAGACACTTTGTCATAAACTGCTTCCTGTCACCCAAGAGCAAACTGGTACTTGTGAGTGCAGAGATAACTGTTTGCATCATTCCCTTGTGCCAAAATGGTAGAACTGAACTGGGTACTCCCCAAAAACTGGGCCCAATTTCATTGCTCTGCTCACCATTCACTAAAAAAAAATGATTACTGTAGCAGAAAATTCTGTGCTTAAGGTAAGGATATTTCACAGGTAAGAGAGGAATTTTGGCTAATGCACATGCGTACATCCCGTAACTAAGGATTCTGTGCTTACAGGGTTAGGGCACAATTTTGTTGCCTGGGCTGTTAGCACAGAATGGCGATGATAGTAAGCATGGAATTCTGTGGTTAGCAGAGCCATGAAATTGGACCCTTAAGGCAAGTTCACACTTCATAGGAATGTTAATGTGAAGTAAATTCGTTAAGGTAACTAAGAATGTCACAATGAAACTTTAATTGTTGACGTCATGACATTTTCTTTCCTTTGGCTTTTGCATGAAGTATGAACCAGCCTTTACAAATGTTTTTGTAAAGGATAAAATGGGTACAGATTTATTCTCAGTTAGGGAAGGGGGGGGGGGGGAAAGAATGGTTATGATTTGAATACTGTCCCCCATCACAACAAGTAGAGAGAGAGAAAAGGCCTTCACTGCCCACAGCGATTAAAAAAGTTCTGATTCTATTACCTCCAGAGAACTTCTGCAAGAAGTCTTTGCTATCCGACTGGTTCCCGCCGTGGCCCATCAGCCAGCCGAACAGTCTCCCCAGCCAGGACCTCTCCCCCTTCCCTTGCTCGTCCTCCTCTACCTCATGGACTCCACAGTGGGTCACCAGGTTGCTGTGGAAGGAGTCCAGGACCTCGCGCAGATCCTCCCGGCAGGGGCTGGTGCTGTCGTCTTTGCCCTTGAAGGAGACCAGCATGCGCATCTTGACAGGGAAACGGGGAAAAATAACATGGGAAATGTAATGAATTTGGCTTTGGGCTTCGTCCTATTTTAAAAGGGACTAAAACTGAGAACAAGGTTGGAATTTAAAAAAGAAAACTGTTGATCGCAGACTGCTTGTTTATCTTTCCATGAGTGTATTTTCACAAATCAAAGTTTTTGGATTGGAAAACTTTTAATGACTCCTCTCACTAGTGAAGCTGACATTAAAAAGTTGAAGTTAATCATCCATGCGCGGAGTATTTTACGTAATTTCACCTGACACATATTTTTGAACCAAATGTGATTCCTTCTTAGGTCAATGATCCAAGGTGCCAGGGAGGTATAAGTATCAATCTCTGCTGAGTTAAAGTTATTGTGACAATAATGCTGAGTGACAAATTACTATGATGGCACAAAAAAAGGTAAAACATAATCCTACTCTGCTGAAACTGTATCGCAAAGAGATCAGCACCGTTGCAAGGCCTTACCTGCTCTTGTGGAGTTGAGCGGAATTCTTTGGTTTTCTTGGCCGCGATGATAGGTGGCATATCGTTGTTCCTAACCTCCATAAACCGCCTGAACTGGTCCTACAGAAAATACATGAAAACAAAAAAACGATAAAATCTGTATGTACAAAAATTTTGTACAAAAAGATTTGGGAAAAATCCAATCTTTTAGAGGGGAATGTTGTCCTAAAAAAGAACTTTACAATACCTTTCCATATGCATTTTTAAAAAAACATAGCTCGGGACAGACTTTATTTTGATGAAATTAGATTGGTGCAAAACTGAGGCTAAAAGTGCAAAGCAAAGACCTATTTTGTGTTGTAACATCGTCAGTTGCTAAGCTGTTGGTAAGAATTCCATTCAATTGGCCCAAACATTCCAGTGTAGTTTCTCTTTCAAGACAACCATGGGTTATGAGTATTGAGCTTGCTTACAGCTTGGCATTCGGCTACAAAGTCTTCCGAGAAGTTGACAATGGACTCGACGCGGTGTCTGAGCTGGCTGTCGCACAGATGTTGCAGGAGGTAGCACACCTCCAACTTGACTGGTTCGTCTAGCTGCATCTGTAGCAAGCCCACTCCCTCGCTCACTCCTAGAAAAAAACAAAATTGAAACTGATTTGAGCTTTCTTACATTTATTTTTTCTTACTTGGCGCTGGTTCATACTCAGAATTGGGAGAAAAATCCAAGATTCAGGCAAAACCCACGGAATTAGGTAGGGACTGAAAACTCTTTACAAATCTTTTAGAACTGCATATGTGATGCGATCAAGCTAAGTAAATCGTTTGTCTGGAATTTTTATTTGGAGATACAGCCAAAATAGGGCCACTTCATCACATCACTTCATTACATCTCTTGGTGTTCCGACTTTCGTAATATTTGAACTAAAGATGGTATCAGCATGCGGTTTTCACATCAGTAATGCTGAGATTGTGCTCTTTTCAAATCTGTAATAAAAAATGTTTGACCAGGGTCGACAAACGACTCACATAGCTTGATCGCATCACATTTGTTGTTTGAAGTTGCTTGTAAAGTACTCGTCAATTCTTCTCCATTATGTAGGCCATTAATTTGTGACAACTTTTTCTATGAAACAAGTGTAACTCTGTGACCATTTTTATGACTGTTTTGCACACCTTCAAATATACACAGTATAAAACTTACATCAATGGATGGCAAATTTCACTTAATTGGACTTCGAATCTCAGGAATTACAAATGATTTTCGCTTCCTACCTTTTTTGTACTTATCATCGAAGGTCGTTGGATCGATAAGAATTAGAAGCTGCTTGAGATCCTCATCGTCAAATTCACCTAGAAACAAATGTGAAAATATGAAAACAAATTCAGATTCAGAATCAAAGTTGAGTCCTTTTTCAAATAAATGAAGATTCTTAGCATATTTTTGCCGTAAGAACTAGGATCCTACCGATAATAAAAGGCATGAATACAAAGACCTCACGTCTTATCATTCCTACTGTATCAAGCCAGATTTTTGTTGAGACTCACAAAAGGACTTGTTCACAACAATGTCAACTAAAATACATAGAATATGACTATCTTCGACTGGGTGTGTTAGGGAACAGATATCAATCGAACCGGCGGGCAACGGCTGGTAACCACCGGTTCCCGGTGGTAACCGGTGGGTTTACAGTGTCTGAGCATTTTGAAAAGGATGATCGTAAGTTATGAATATTGGTATATGCACGAGGTCATCCAGCCTGGCCCATGGGCTCATTAAGAATGAGTCAACTAGCCCAGGGAATTAACTCCAGAGTGCCAGTAAGGTGTACAATAGAAACCACACTCTGCCATGGGCCACCGTTGTTGAGGGATTATCGGATTACACTACTTGAATGCCTTTGAATTTCGTTTGCCATGTTTCACACGCAATTATTTTTTGACAGATTTTTATCTGCGTACCGGGACTATCCACTGTCAATGCGGACCAACAAATTATTTTGTTTTTATTTAAATGTTCTTAATTTCCTATCGTCCAGCAAAAAACTGAATAATTTTCTCATGGGATGCTTATTAACGGCACTTACCAATGACGAGCAACTTGTCACACAGTCGCAGAAGTGGTCTGTAAGATTTAAAGTAGCGGACAGAAGAAAGTGGGTGAACTTGCCAATATTACGTTTCTGTATCTTATCCTTTGCGCTCGGTGAAATCCAAGATGATTCAGGTAGATTGCAGGATATGAAATTTACAAAATGTCAAGATTTCAATATAAAATCCAGTGGACTTAAGGGAAGACTCTGGAAGACCCAGGAAGGTTCAAGATTTCAAATGCACTCCGAAAGACTTAGGAAAAGTCCAGATTTCAAGAGGACACAGAAAGACTAAGGGAAACTCAGGAAAGTATAAGATTAATTCCGGAATTAATTATTAATTTCAAGATTTGCAGACATAAAGTATTCAAGATATAATCAGGAATACTCAGGAAGTTTCAAGATGACACAGAAGGCTCCAAATTTTTTGAGACTTCAAAAAGACTCGGGAAGACCCAAAAAATTGCAAAATTTTCAATAGCGCTCAAAAAGACTAAGACTCAGGAAGACTCAGACTCGGGAAAGCTGAAGATGATTCAGGTAGATTTTTCTGAAATAAAACAACCTGGTCTAAAATGATTTTAGAGGTACTCACACAAAGAGGTCGTTGTAACTTCCTCCGATAGGATCCCGGCAGCTGGACACTCCATGGGCGACTGCCTGGGTCAGAAGGTTGATCACGTGTTTCTTGAGGGCGTTGAGTTGAAAGGGCGGTGGGCGTGTCTCGCTCAAACGATGGGGGAGGTTCACGTTGGATCTAAATATAGAAAAAATTCCATATTCAGAATTGGTGCTTTAAAATTCCGTAAAATATAGGGAGCTCATTTATTCTGCAAGTGTTTCCCTAGTTGTTTTGGGGGTATAGTCCAATTTTGGCAAGCTTTCACTACACATTCACAGATCCTTCAATGGCAAAAGCACTGTGTAAACTAAACACGCAAAAAAGGAACATTTATTGGAGGGGTCATCATTTTGAATGTGATCGTCTTATGATAACGTCATTTATATAGACCTTTGGGTAATGTTGTTAGCTACATTTTGATACCCCATTTGCTAGCAGACTGTAAATCGTCCAATGTTGACAATGGTTTATGAAAAGTGATGCAGTTAAAAAATTGCAAATTTAAAGAGTATACGAGTGGAAATTGCTGCATGACAATGTTCACTGACCGAAACAAACAGCAGGGAATACCAATCGCACAGTGCTTGCATGCATGGGGGAACACAAATTGAATTGCCCGCGCTTTGTTCGGGCACCGTGCAGTCGATGGGGGCCAATTACGGGCATGTGCGCTTACACTTAGCAATGTCGCCTCGCGTAATCTTTAAATTTGCAACTTTTCAAATTGAATCACTTTTCATAAACTGTTGTCAATCTTGGACGATTTACAGTCTTTGGTAGCAAACGGGTATTAAAATGTAGCTAACAACATTCCCCAAAGGTCTACATAAATGACATCATCATAAGATGATCAGATTCAAAATTATGACCCCTCCAATGAATGTGGACTTTTTTGCGCAACTGCCTCATGACGGATTATCTGAATGCTAGCTGGCACATTGCAGTGCTATTCAAGGGGCTGTTCTATATGATATACTTACCCATCGTCAGAGAAGAGTTGTTCTGGTCGGATGGAGACTGTTTTGCTGGTGCTCAGGGCTCTCTTGATGGATGAACTGTTATTGGAGCCTTCTTCCCCGGTATCCTCGTAGCGTTGGTTAGCGGCCATCAGGGGAATGATAAACTCATCCTGGGTCATCAATCTGCATCACACACATAGAGGAAGGAAACTGGTACTTTTCAGTTCATATTTATGGCAGTGCAAATGGGCTTGAATTTCACTCAGTGTTTCAACCATAAGTGCCCATATTTTTTTAAACAGACATTTTACTCTCTGTGATTAACATCCCTCAGCAGTTCCAAAGAGAAAGATGGGGAGACCACTGCGAGGGACATTTGTCACCTCAAATGAGCATTAAGTCAACACATTTCAATTTTCAAGTACAGTGGGGTACGGCCAGATTTTGAAGAGGCATTGTTTTTTTTCTTTTTCTATTCTGTTTCATCTTGTTAAATTTTCAATGTTATACCACAGCAACATTTTTAAATATCTCAAAAATTAGTACTTTTTGGGCATGCATGTCGGACATTTGTGTACACATGTCGGACACTAATCAGGACTATGATTGGTCAAAACATCACGGGGGCGGGGCTTAATGGGTCAGTCTATTAGCTTCAAAGTGCCTGCAAAGAATCCCTGTTAAACTGTGCTTTACAGAACCACACACAACTCACAAATGAAAACAAAAATGCTGTTACCGCAGAACTTTACACTACATCACATTGATCTGCAATTAAATTCTTCTTACCTGGCGTTGGCATGAGTAGCTAGATGAAGGGAGATGAGTAGATCATGGTAGCCCATTCGCAGAGGACCGGACAGATCTGTGCATCACATCATAAAAAGAAATAGTCATCGAGTTGGATCCGGTTGCAACCCGGAGGTCGCAGGTTGAAATCCTGCTCCAGTCAATTTCTTGGTTCATTTTTAAACAAAGGCATTGACGAAATGGAGAACCCCCAACATAGGGCTTGATAGCTCAGTTTATAGAGCACCGGAACGGCAGTTTGGAGGTTACAGGTTCAAACCCGAATCCAGTCTAATTCTTTGTTCATTTTTAACAAAGGCATTGACAAAACTGTGAACCACCAACATACCGACATAGGGCTGGATAGCTCAGTGGGTAGAGGACTCGTACAGTATTTCGGATGTCACAGGTTCAAACCCCCTTCTCAGTTTATAGAGCACCGGAACGGCAGTTTGGAGGTTACAGGTTCAAACCCAAATCCAGTCTGATTCTTTGTTTATTTTGAACAAAGGCATGGACAAACTTGGGCACCACCAACATACCAACATAGGGCTCGATAGCTCAGTTGGTTGAGGACTCGTACAGTATTCTAAATGTCACAGGTTCAAACCCCCTTCTCAGTTTATAGAGCACCAGAACGGCAGTCTGGAGGTTACAGGTTCAAACCCAAATCCAGTCTGATTCTTTGTTTATTTTGAACAAAGGCATGGACAAACTTGGGCACCACCAACATACCGACATAGGGCTGTTGGTCGAGGACCCGTACAGTATTCCAGATGTCACAGGTTCAAAGCTCCTTCTGGTTAATTTCTTTGCTCACCTTTCAAATTATTATAATGCACCTAGTCAGATTCCCTTCTTTACGGTTTACTTGGAAATTTGTGATAGAAAGCCATATCGTCCTGGCGTGATCCCTATTTGCCGTTTCCCAGACTAGTAGCATTGTTAATGTTGCTAGCATCGTGACTTTGGGCATGATCCCTGGCTACATGGCATTTACATTGGTTAACAGAGACATTGACGTAATGAGGAACCGCCAACATAGGATTGGATGGCTCAGTTTGTAGAGCACCGGAACAGGGTTCAAACCCTACTCCAGTCAATTTCTTTGGTCAATTTAAAAAAAAAATATTAAAATGCATCTGGTCAGTTTCCCTTTGTGGTTACATTACATGTACCTCCGCCAAGGAGGGTATGTTTTCATCGGATTTGGTAAGTTTGTTGGTTAGTTTGTCTGTTAACAAGATAACTCAAAACTTATGGACTTGCATGAAAAATTTTACAAGTACAAATCGATTAGTTTTTGGATTTGATCTGGATCTGGGTCTGGGTCTGGATCCAGGATTTTTTTAAAGGATTCTTCAACATTTATGCGAGCATTTCTTTTGGGAGTACTGACAATATGACGGGGAATTGTTTAGCCTTGGAGGAGGTTTGTGCTCTCTGAGTGCTTTCTAGTTTTGATCATAATATCATGAGACTTTCTAAACTTTTTTTAAAGTCAACAAAAGTTCTGCACACAGAATCTATACTTACATTCACACTGTATACAGTAGGTCAGCTGGTCTTCATTCACATGACTGCACAAAGCATGAGCCACATGATGGTTGCCATGGGAACACACGGCGCTGTACAACTTCAGGGTATGGGCATGAAACCTGAGAACAAAAAATTGCATCCTCGAAGATAAGGCCTTTGAAACTTCATTGATGTCCAAATATCTAGTTGGGGAAACCATCTGAGACTGAATACACAATTTGAATGTGCGTCAATATTTTAGTCACATTTCTTTTTTGGCAGGAATTCTATTCTGATAATGTTCTCTTTAGACAAGTAAAATCCAAGTTAATTATTGACCTTATTCTTCAATTCAGATATGCTCCACTTTACAGCTTCTGTAAAACAGTACAAAGAATCATTAAATCTAATTTTCTTTCACCATATGAAGGAATATTGTTTTTCCAACTTCCATTGATATTTTGTGACTTGTAGCAGACAGTCTCAACTTGGATTCATATTTTGTAAAAAAAAAAAGACTTAACCAATAAAAATTGACATGGAATAATTTGATATAGGTATAGAATCAAAACAACATTTATGTAAAAAACACTACAGTATTTTGTTTTTGCGTTGAAGTACTTACTTGAGTTTTACGAATCAAAACAACTTCTTTTTTTTACGAATCAAAACAACATTTATGTAAAAAATGCTACAGTATTTTGTTTTTGCGTTGAAGTACTTACTTGAGTAAGTCTGGATTTTCAATCAACTCCAAAATGTCTATACATCGGTTTGCCTCTGGGATGTGAACAGCCAACCAGGAAACTGAATCAAAATACATGATATAAAAAGCATCATCAATTTCTGCCAGCTGATATGTATAACTTTCCCCTCTAGAGAGAAGAACAGTGACAAGGGTTTTTTCAACGCAACGAAAAAATGCCATTGACAAGCATCTGGTAGTGTAGTATTACCATATAGTCACGCTTGTTAGTTTTTCAAATGAACAGTAGCGACAAACTCGGTATGGATTCACTTTTTTGGGGGTTGAGTATACTAGTAGTAGGCCAGTTTGGGTTATTTATTTGAAAATGTTTTTTCTTCGGAGTGATATCATCGGAAAGGGAGACAGAAACAATGATTAAATCATTGTTTGCAGGGGACGTGAACCCCAAACACAAAGGGTGGCTTCAACCAAAGTGACTCTCCGACCCTTATACCACCATGAAACATGCCTGGAGGACTTATTATTTTGATGACACAATACAGTGGAACGTTGCTATACCGAACACCACTATACCGAACATTCGGTTATACCGAACATCGTCCTTGGCTCCCGATTTTTGTGTACAAAACCAACTGAACATTGTTGTTGAAAACCATCAACAGAAAAGCGACAAGTGGCTATTATTTCCCCAAGGCATAGAAGGGGAAAGCCACCCATCGATATAGGTAGTAAGCTCAAAACTGTGTAATAACATAATTCAATAGTCGGCACGTGTTCGAAGTCGTCTTTCAGTAACTACCAGGGCGTGCAGGGTGAAGTTATGAAGGGCGCCATTTATTGAAAAGTGAGTACCAGAGCACCGGCAGCTTAAAATTGCTATACCGAATGATCACTATTACGAACATTTACTGTGGATCCCACGATGTTCGTTATAGCGGCGTTCCACTGTACATTTGTCACGGTATACCAAGGAATTAGCGCAGCAAATTATTGGGTTTTTTACGAATACTCGAACCGGCAAAATGCTTGGTTGATGATCGAATATTCAATATATTCGTAGCAGACCTACAATATATACCACACACCACAATTCCAGCGCGTGGTTCATATGCGGTTACCAGCAATCTTACCTGGTGTCCTGCATGACACAATCCAGCCGGCATTGTCCGAGTGTTTGCGGGTCAAGACATCCAGGGCCTTGTGAGGGGCCCGGGACCAGACGCACGGCCGCATGACCTGAACTTTGACCCGGGAGGGGCACTGGGGTACGGGATTGTGGGAGTCGCTCTTGAACCAGGCAGCCGAGATAGGAAGGCAATTCTGGGGAGAAAAATAACAAAATCAAGTAAAGCCCAAAATAAAGAGAGTCATTCTTGGCCGGACGTGAGATGCAAGAAACTTTTGAAGGGGATATGCAGTAGATTTGTTGAACAGAATCATGGTACTGTACCTCCATGTTCCTTTGACCTTCATTAGAATTCTTTGTACTGCCCATTTTAAGTGTTCTTCAGGGGCTTTTTGATTCATTTTTGTCCAAATGTTTGAGCAAAAAGTTGTCAGCATTGTGTCTATTCTGTCTTTTGTGTTGCGTTGTTAAAAGTTTTTAAAAAAATCCAAATTCACTTAAAAAGGGACTGCCCTTTATTTCACACAGTTCAGAGGCATGATTATTCAAAAAAACCAACTTTGTTTTGAAATTCAATTTATGGCCATTCAATTGGATTGACAGCTTTATTTGTGGCATATCCGTGTCATGATGCAATATCATAAGGGATCTCAACAAAATTACATCACATCATAGGGATCTCAACAACTTCTCTTTTTAACTGGTGTTGAATTGGATCAGAAATGTCACTCTAACTAACTTATAAGAAATGATTCCACTGACCTTTGACCTCCCAAGCTCAAACTGCAACATCTCCTTGCTGGTTGGACGAGCAAAGACAGCCGGGAAGAGCTTGGTGCAGGGCTGAACCTAAATGGTAATGGGGACAGTGTCAAATTGAGCTTGAGAAAGAAATTTTGGTTCTCTGTAACAATCCTAACTAGTGCCTACTACAGTAGAGCTTCACTATAGTGAACACATTTGGGTCCACAAAATATTGCTTGGGATAGCTGTCATTTGTCAAAGCCATTTTTCAATCTCCAATGTTTTGTGTAAAATTTAAAATTTCGGAGGCTTCAAGCCTTAGGCCTCCGAAATTTTAAATTTTATAAGGGGATGTTCGTCATGTACCGATGTTCAGTATAGTGATGATTGTTAAAGCAGCTTTCTACCATAACTATTTAGAATATCTATGCAGCTTTGCTCACATTTGTTTTGTTTTTTTTTCTTTTTTTTTTTGAGGGGGGACACTTTTCAAATTTCTAAAAAGGTTTGGAAATTCAACTTTCAGTCGCCAAATTCAAATTTGTCAACAAAACCATACTGCTTCAATATCTCACTCCGATATAGAGTCAGGAATTGGGCAGCATGTGGTTGCCCTTACGTCCTCTGACACAGGGTCAGCCTCATTAAAATATCTGAAAGTGCACACTTTGGCAATGCATTCTGCAATATATTCGTATTAGAGAACACTAATCCAATCGGACTACAGGGGAGGTAGCATTGTCATGGCACAAACCAATTTCAGAAACTATAATGGCACTGCCTGTTCTGAAGTGGAGCCCTGTGGCCAATGTTACTTGTATATGTTGTCGACATTGTATTTGTGTTCTTGTGCAAGACACCTTACTACAATTGCATATCTCCACTCAAAGAGTATAAATGAGTACCTGTGGGGATTAGATACCATACCAGTAATTTTAAAGCGCTTTGAGACTTTGTAGTGCTTTGTAGTTTATAGTATTATATAAACACCACAGTTGTTTGTTATTATCACATACATGTATGAGAAAAGGTCTTTATGGGGTCGCCAGACCAATCTGAAGGGGGTGGGGGGGGGATGACGCCATCTGACTTTTGGGAGCCTGTTCAAAGTGACGATCTACTATTTGTCACATCATATTTACCAACAGACACACTATTTAGCTTACAAGCCACGACTTTGCCGGCAAAAGGATTAATGGGGAGGGAGATGGGTGCCACCACCCCACCCCCAGCAATGCCCCTATACAGGGCTCCAGCCTGTAAGCTCACCAGGTATCTAGTGTGTATTTCCCTGTTATTGATGGAGAAGGTCAGTTCGCCGCTTGCCGTGTCAGCCAAGCAGCCAATGACCAGGCCTGTGGTCACTCTCCGGCCCTCCGGACTGGTCAACATGTCCAGGAAGTCACCCACGCAGATCATGAAGCAGTCACTGTGCTTGGTGCTATCACAGTGAACAAAAGGGTACAAAAAAATTAATCCATCACAACAATCTTGGATGTTTTGCATTAATTTTAATTGTATGGATGCAGCCCAGGCGAAAGGCCAAGACCACTCCAAATCAGCATTCCTCAAAATGAGCACGAGTCCAAGACAATTGTTTCCAGCTCCTACTGGAGCTGAAGTGCACTAAACTTGTTTTTTCCCCTTCTCTTGACAAGTCACAAATTGGTTTTGTGATTAGAGATTACAAACTCTTGATTCACAGACATTTTCTTTTACGCTAATCCACCATTTTGATCATAAAACCGATATGCAAAAACAGAGCCCTTTCCCTCTCCAAAATCCCACACAGTGATTCTCTTTTTTCATTTTTCTTGTTTGCTTATTAAACAGTGTTTCAATTTTGCAGTTTAATTTGAAACTTTATTTTTCAGGACACCATGCTCCCAAAATGCAGAAAATATAACTGTTACTCTTTTCCATTGTAATGGAGTACCAAAGTGAATACGTCACAGGCACAAAATGTGTGTAAAAGACATTAGCGCGTGATTCAGCACGAAAAGCAACACGAGCCCGTACTCCATTCGTTTGCACTACACTTTCTGGTTCTAAATGACGTCACACTTCGGTACTCCATAAGTGGCCTCTAGTGAGTGAATATGACAAAGTGAAGCCTCTGATTATAGCCGACACCCTTCCGAGTTAATGGAAATGTTTGCAGACAATGAGTTAGTATCACAGTACCAATGGTATGCCAAGTGAGATGTAATATTGGAGTTTCTTTATAGAAATCATTCTGATTAGTAAAACTGTGTTGGAAAGTTTTTTCTTCAAATAGAATACAGGATCTATTACCATCATGAGTTAAATGTGGTTATACATATATACCCAAATCGCAACAAAACATTCACTCGCAAGCTACATGTACCTAAAGGTGCCAGTTTTGATACACCAAATGCAGCAAGTATAACTGCACACAAATTTAGTTATTTCAAAGAGACTGGTCTGTCTTTCCAAGAAGGAACATATTAATAAGGGAATAAATATGTGCTTGGCCAGTTATAAACAAGTATGTTTAAAAACAGCTAGGGCCTAGACGCGGATAATGGCCCGAGCCGAAGGCCAAAAAGTCACGAAACAAGTCCAAAATTCACAAATTCCAACATTTTTTTTTCAACAATTTTACTTCATGTTTTGTGAAACACCCCTCTTTGCCATGTCTATGGTACGTGCCTCGCGTGCTAAGTGCCAATATGGAAATTGGCACTCGCAAGTTCGGCGCACACTGCGCAATGTGGCCCAGAATACAGGAATTGTGTTTAAAATCAGTTGGTATTTTATCAACCGTCTAAAACCACCCACGTGACGGACACTCGACCAACAGGAATGAATGAAACTGTCTCAGATATTTATGAGTAGAAGATCAAATGAACCACAAAAGACTAATGCTTAGAAAATGTTTTGTTCTATGCACTATTAAGTATGTGTAACCAACTACACCGTGTGTTAAAAGCAATGAACAATGGCCAAACAAAAAACGATTTGCTGATGAATATTTGCGGCTCTTTAAAAAACCCATTTCTTACTTTCTGATTCAAACATAGTTAGAATAAGAAAACATTTGACAACTTACAAATGGTTATCCAAAATTTAAGGGGTTTTTTTTAGTGATCAATGCTTTTGGGTCATTCTAAAAATTTGAGGTCCACTTTTTTCCCCTGTCCTTGTTACATCTGAAATCTATGATTTTATCATTCTGTTGCACTTCTTAATGTACTCTTCCTCCAAGAGTGATTATGTGCTGCAGACCACCTACCCAATAAATAAAAATTAGTTTAAGACAAAATTACAATCTGCAGAGGTAACACAACAGGAAATATGTCACGCTTTGGACCTCAAATTTGTAAAACGACCCTTTTAGAGTAATACATGTAAATGCACACCAAGATTAAACAAAAACATGAAGTCTATCCCATGCATAGCGCCCCCCCCCCCAAACCAATGAGCCAATACACTTAACAGTTGTTAATCTCACCTCTTTGGGCCATGCCCCCTTTCACTGTCACGCGTCGTGCGGTGTGTAACGTTCCTAGTTAGTAAGAAATGAACTGGCAATGTTAAACAATGGGGCTTGTCCACAACCATGTTAATTTCCTTCTAGAAAAACGATGATTTTTGCAGCGAGTTGTTTCTTGGCACAATCACATGCCTTGTGTGCTTGGCTGTGCGTGTGCTTGAAATTATTTTTGTGGTGCTAATCAAGTTTGTAATGGTGATAATTTTTTTTGAGAGAGAGAGAGTGCGGTTAATCTGAGCGTGATTTTTATTGTGAATAAACCCCACTGAATTTGGTGCACACACAATGCAACACCAAAAGCCTGTTTGAAATGTCAGTGTTTAGATTTTGAGCACAAATGGCTCTGGGGTTAGTAATGACTCAGATTTATAAAAAATCACCACAACACTTTCATTAAAATGAGTTCTCATTAGCATGAAAATCACATTTGTTAGCACGTTAAGGTGTTGTTAGTACGTCCAGATCTTGAAACAATACATGAACAATTCCAACAACTTGACAAGGGTTAGTCACATCCAAACACTAACATTTAAAAACAGACTTGCATCAAAACAAACACCGAGGAATACTATGGGGAACTATCTCCCGACTTACCTATCCTGCACGCCGCCGTTTTCGTTCATCAAGTTGACTTTGACGCTCCTGGTCTTGGCGGGGTCAAAGGTCGGGCTGTGATGGTGATACTCCGGGGTCACCCAGCCCACGTGGATTTCAGACGGGTCCTGACCGGGGAAGACGCGCACTGCGTAGAAGTACTTGGTTGCCATGGCAACATCGATCGAGTCGACCTCGCTGATGTCGGACATGATGTCCACGGATTTGAACATCTCGAAACTGGAGCCCATTGAGGAGAGTTTGGAGAGCTTGGGTCGGGAATGGCCCTCGGAGCCGATGGAGCTGGTGTTGTCGCTGTGTGGACTCAGCCCCGAGTACTCGTGAGTCAGTGTCCCCGGGGGAGAGGCGTCCGGAGTTTTCAACCTCTTCCCCTTGCGCATGACCTCGGCGCCAGGACTGCGCCGCCCGTCCACGTCTGCGTTTGCGTAGCGCGTCTGGTTTTGAGTCCCGCCACTGCCATCAAGCGCCCTGGAAGCATCCATGCTGGCACTTTTGACGAACTTGCCGCGTTTGGACTTGGAGGGGGAGGGAGTGACGTCCGTGCTGACTTCCGAGGGGGGCCCAGTGGGGCTGTCCGTGGACGGGGAACGAACCATGGGGATCTTGCGACCCAGGGGTAGGCTGGGTCCCTTACGCTTGTCCTTGTGGGTACCGTTCATGGTGCCGTTGGCGGTGCGGAGGGTGGAGTCTGAGTCCATGGTCTCCATGTCAACAGCTCGGTGTTCTGCAAGGCAATGAAATAAGTACACAGACGTTTGTAAGTCAAATCAAAAAGTTGTCCATATTGTGCATCATGTGACTCTTTGCAAAAAGGATCTAAAGTTATCTTTTGTGAATGCATAGAGAGAAAAATGTATCCTCTATAATCTACGCAGATAACGCTTTGCATGCGCGTGCTTTGCCAAACGCAAATTAAAGGTGAGTGCGTAGAAATAGGATCAAGTAGATTTAGAGGGTCTGACGATACCCTTTATAGTTAGAATTGTTCATTTTTACATAAAAGATTAAAACAAATGTACAAATTTGACTAAATAAATCAAAATCAGAAATGTACAATAGATCAGGACACATGAAGGTGAGAGAGTGGAGTATGTGTGTTACTATTTGCAGCAGTGGCAGAGGTGAATCATTTTGAGGTTAGAAGATATTTAGTTTTTGCATTTTTTTTTTTTTTGCCTTTTCAGCGAGAAGTATGAAGAAACTAAAGCTTTTTACAATTTTTAAGGCCGGTTCATACTTCAATTAGCGAATGCCAATGCGAAATTTGCCAGATTTGAAATGAGTTCAACTTTTGTGAAAATACAGCACGAAAACATGCCACATTTTGCTAAGTATGAACTGGCCTTCAGAACTGATCAGCAATTTATACAAGTTCTTAACCTTCAAGATGTGTATCCAAACAGAATTTCAGGGGAAACCCAGCTGTTTAATAAACCCAACACCTCCAAACCAGCTGCATTTTACACCTGCAACCTAGGCATCAAAAGCTTAAAGGGTGTTCCATTCCAGATGGGAATAACTGAATAATTGATTTGATGACTTCTTCATTTTGATGGATCACCTTACATTCTTGTATCTTAAAACTCCCAAAAAGGTCTTTTGCCACAGCCTTTTCTGAGCTGCACATGAAAAGATTTAGTGACATCAATTTTTTAGTACTGCCAGATGCTACCCTGACACATATTTTTTTTTTGCACTCTTTTTTGTAACAGTACAGTGTGACTCCAAAATGTCAAGTGGTAAGCCGCTGGCAATGAAATGAAACAAAGTGAGTTTTTAGAGTGGCATAATAAAACTGTCTGTTCCCTTAAGGTGATGAGTGAAGCTGCTGGAAATAGTAAACAAATAATGAAAGTTTGTGACTGCAATGGTAAGAATAATTTCATGAGGTGACAGATGTTCCATTCCACGAGGCGAACCCTAACCCTTACCCTAAATGAAATTATTCTTTCCATTGCACAAATGTGAATCATTCATTATTTGTTTCATACAACACCTGAATAAATCCTCATCATCTGACGTATAAAAACATTTAATTCTGTTTAAGCCAATTCTAAACAAATGCACTTGTATTTCAATTTAAAAAACAAGTTAATATTACAGCAGCCGATTTCAAAAAAAGTGCATAGCTTGCGCCATGCGTAGGACTTACGCACCAAATTTGTTGCGTAGCTGCACTATAAACTTTTGATCGATTTCACGAAACTTGGTGTAACTGCCCAACATTTTAAATAATCTCAACATCTTGGACGAGGATAATAACAGCATTTATGACGGCTGTTTGTGTATGAATTTGTTCGTTCACGAAACAGTCGTTGAATCAACTCAGCCCACCATTTTGAAAATATTTTTGTCCGACTTTCTTCGCAATCGTGCGGCAACTCTAAAAATTCTGTCACAAGTAATTTAGCAATTATTGTACCGTTACCTCAAACACGAAGCTGTTCTTCAACCTTGATAGGTTGGGCAATGACAGGCTCCCTAACAATAAAGACTTCCTTGTAAAATAGGTCATTTTCAGTCCCTATGCCACAACATACGCCACCTAAAATGATTGCCCAAGTTATGCCATAATTTGTTGTGCAAGTCACGCACTTACACACTATGAGACTTTTGTGAAATGTGTCATGAGTGAAATGTTGCACAACTTGCGTAATAAATTGTGGTGCAAGCGTAAGGTTTTGTGCAATTGGCTGCAGGTCAGTTGATCCCGGTCACCAATTAAACAAAATATACCATCCAATGAGAAGTCCAAGAATTAGCTGCTATCAGCCCCCAGGCTAGGGCAGTGGGGCTTGCAAATGGTTTAAAGCAAAATGATGCACGAGTAGCTTCAATAAGAGACTTTTGAGACATTGATGGCAGCAAACACACTGGTCCTATTCAATTGTTCAGTCTTGTTTAAGGTGAAGAGCGCATGCTGAATATGACGCAAACAATGGAAAAAGGACTGGTGTGTTTGCTGCCACCAACGTCTCTAAAGTCTCCCATTGGATCAAGTTTTGTAAAGCTATATTAACAAGACTATTTTGAAGTGTTAATGTTGAGGTGTCTGAAAGGTTCAAAATAGAGCCCAAAAAAGTGAGGTTTAGAAACAGAGTCAGATGTGAGGAGTTATAAATCGGATAATTAATAATCGGTTCATAAGGCAACTTTGTTGAGTGCCAATATGGCCCATCAGGTCGGCGTTATCCCTGGTTTCCTTGTCATGAAGCGACTGAGAATATTTCCACTCGCCCCGGATGGGATGCTGGTCCATCACAGGTTACTCCCCAGCTAATGCCGGTACCCATTTATACCCATGGGTGGAGAGACGCAAGTGGGGGTGATGTTGCTTGCCCAAGGACACAACATATGACCAGCAGACTGAGAATATTTCTATTCGCCCTGGATGGGATGCCGGTCCATCACAGGTTACTCCCCAACTAATGCCGGTACCCATTTATACCCATGGGTGGAGAGACGCAAGTGGGGGTGATGTTGCTTGCCCAAGGACACAACATATGACCAGCAGACTGAGAATATTTCTATTCGCCCTGGATGGGATGCCGGTCCATCACAGGTTACTCCCCAACTAATGCCGGTACCCATTTATACTCATGGGTGGAGAGACGCAAGTGGGGGTGAAGTTGCTTGCCCAAGGACAAAACACCAGCTGGATTTGAACCCATGACCCTCTGATCATGAGTCATGAACCCTTACCACTAGGCCAAAATTTGTTAAAAAAAACAAATGTGGTATGTAATGGCAAAATATACTTCTTAGATTTTATCTTTATTGTTGTTTAATGTTAGGCATAAAAAGTATAAAAAATGCATTATTGAAATAAAAAGTGAAGAGAAATGTTACAAATCAGTGGAAAAAAATCCGCATGCTGTTTAACCTACCCCCCCAAAAAAAAATCCCAGCTGTCTAACATTCAAATGTACCAATTAAGCAAACCAAGAAGAAAATACCAAAGAAATATTAATTGACTTCTGACAACCAGTGACATAATTCACAGAATTTCAAAGAATGATGGAAAAACAGGTTACATCCATTTCAGACTGGCCTCCTAGAGTAACACAGATATGAAGAGTAAATAGAAGCAACTTGGGTCGAATAAAATAGATTTTGGTTTCTGACAGGCAAACTTGAAATATTAATTTTTCATTGACTACACTCAGGAGTCAGTACAAAAGACCACAAAAGTCATTCTTATGATGTAGTCGCTCCTAGCTTTTCATGAACTTAAAAGCAGAGTCATTTGCTTTTCATGCATTTTTCCATTTCCAATAACATCACCACTCAAAACCTTAAGACGAAAATTCAAAACCCAACCTGTTGAGTTTTCAGCTCCGTAGATAGTACTTTTCTTTCTTTGTTTTTTTACTTTATTACTCTTCGAGAAAAAAAAGTGGAAACCACACACAACCTTTTGATCACAAAACACAATTTCGTCAATGGAACTCTTTATTTCCAACAATGGGTCAATTGACTGATCGCTGGAATTTAGCTGTATTTTTCTATTTCTTCTAAAAAGGAAATATGGAAAAATTCAGTTCATTGCAACTCTGGAATTCCGGTCTGAAACGGATGGTTACCAGCTAAAAAGCCATGTGATGTGTACTACGTGTGACTGGTTCCCTGCTATAATTTGCCTAGAAGCTTCATAAAATTGAGCCCAGAAAACAAAAGTTGTAAAAATCCACAAGTAAATAACAACCAAAAGACAAAAACAGATTTGAGTGAGCTAGTGCTGTGCATTTCCACATAATTTAGTATTCGATTATTCTAACTTGGACTTGACCGAATATTCGGATATTCGAAATGCGCTGACCAACGTTTACATGCACCAGTCTAAACTGGCCGCCAATCGGGATTCGTGTGCACCCTCCGTTTGTCGAAAATTGACGAAGAGCTTGTATTAAACTAATGCAAAGAACATCATGTATGTATCAACATAAATGGTTTAAAGGTAGCACAATGGCTGACATTTGAAAAAAAAAAAAATTAAAGAAGAAATTTGAGCTAATAGTCCTCACTGAGGCTCTCAAATTATGCATGCAAATCATCTCCTCATTTGATGTTTCTTGGTCATCTCTTCGAATATTTGAATAAGAATAAAAGCTATTCAGTTCTTCGGTGATCAAATATTCGAATATTCGGTATATTAGGCAGAGCCCTAGAAAAAGCAATGGTTAATTAAGCCACTTGCCCCCCCAAAAAAACGATTAAGTGAGGTAAATGTTACGTCCATGCAAATTGGAAGGTAAAAAAGTCAACTAGTTCACCATTCTTACAACCAGTCTGTGTTAATTAGTCAAGTATGAAAGAGGTAAGTTATTGAAGAATTAGGAGTACCCCAGAAAAAAGGGTGGGTTATTACAGAAGAGACTGAAAGTTGGCTATCAAGGAAATTTCCAGAGATAAAAGAAGAGTCAAAACTTGAGTTGTTTTGATTTGTGTTACCTTCCATTAAAACCTCTACAACCTCTGGCACTGGAAATACAATTCATACACAAAAAAAAATTGTTGTTTAATCCTAATTTTTCTGAATAAGACTTAAAATGCTCCTTTTTCTCTCAGATTCAAAAGGTTTGCTTTCAGACAAAAGTCTGAAAATGTCATGCCTGTAAGCGATTTGATTAAATATTCATAAATGCACTTGTACTTCTTACATTTTATGGTGTTTTATTGCTTCATCTCAATGCTGTTTCAGGGTAAATTCGTGATTATAATTTTACATCACATCTGAGCAATATGTAATTCTGTTAATCGATTCTACAGAAATAAATGACTTCACCAATGCTTACTAAATTGCACTGCAAGTTTACAAACACACCCCCCTTTAAAACCCCTTGTTTATTATTTCAAATGTTTTAAGGGGAAAAAGTGAGAAATGTTGCTAGTTCCTATTGATAGGCTTGTCGCTTTAGAATCGTTCTGTTGAGTGACATGAAATGTTTAAATGTGAATTCCCGTATAAAGGCATTCCGTGTTATTGTTTCATATTTTGGGTTACAACACATGAGGGTTCAAAAACAGAATCATGCTATTATCATTATTTTTTAAAATGTCATCACGATTTGATAGAGCTTCACAGCTGGTACCTGAAACATGAAGACACACTTTGTTTACATATTCAAACACGTAAACATGAATTTTAAAGTTAGAGTCTAAGCAAGTTAGAGAAGCATAATTTACTTTTCATGAGTCCCTTCCGCCGGTCGCGTCTACTGTGATGCGGGGTGGAGACACTGTCAAAATCTGAGTCGCTCTCTACAGCACTGCTTGGGTAGCCGTTAGTCACTGCAAGAACACCCCCATTAGAAAAATGGGACAGGCCACACACAGGATAGGACAAAGCATTCAGGAATAAACAAAATATTAGTAATAAGTAACACATTAGAATCTACAATGAGCTACCGGTACATCTACTTTAAAAGCTAATGTTATATTATCTGGCTATACCTAAATTTTAAATATTATTGCACAATAGAGGGATTACAATCAAGGTATTAAAATTTGTTGTTTCAATATATTTTGGATTGTTAAGCAGGACTTTTTTAAAACCATGCAAAACAAATTGAGGAAAAAACTGCTAATGCACATAAAGCAGAAGCGTACGCTAATTAGTTATCAAAGTACTAATTTGTTGCCTTTATAATTAATTAACAGCCTGTATGCTAATTAGATGCATTTATGCTAATTAGGTGTCCATATGCTTATAGGTTCTTTGACGAATAGCATGGGGTAACCTTCTCAATAAAAAAAACCTAGCACCTTGAAACCAGATGGACGATAAGTAACTTTGGTTTTAACTTTTGAAACTATTCTCAACTACTATGTGGACAATCAAGGTTAATTTGTATCATTTGATGGCTCTAGTTTTACCAAATGAAATTTGGTGAAATTTGGACTCCTACGAAATCTGGTTTCTTTTATCTTAAATGGAATCTAAACCCAGGGCCTGGATGAAGTGTTCCGTAGGCCGTACTCTGCCCTAGGTACCGGCACCAATCTCACAGCTCTAGTAGCACTGGAGCCTCACATTTCATGCTGAGCTATGCTAAGCTAGCCGTACTAAGCAAGACAGGCCAAACTGGTAGCTCTAAAAGCCTGCACAATGTACTACATGTGTTGGGTTCACTACCAGTTATTACAACGCATCACATGTATTGAGGTACACGGTCAGCTGTGTACTAGCTAGTTTTAAGCTATCCCAAAATCGAAAACTCAAGACGCTTAAACTTTTCTAGTGTCTATGTGGATATGAGTATGTAAACACCAGCAATCGTGGACCTAGATGTAGGACAAAAGGGTAAGGGCACAAACAATACGTCCAAGATTGACCGACAGTCCACGATTGAAATTTGTGCACAAAACATATGTGAGCTGTTGCTAAAAAGTTAAGGTACAAACAAAGGAATGAGGATTACGGACAATAGGGGGTCCACGATTGTCGGTGTTTACACAGATGTCTGTGTGATAGTACAGTGTGTGTTTTATGGCACGTTGGTATTTCCGTAGGCCCTAAAAATACTCTAGGCCCCAAATTTTTCATAGGCCCTAGGCTCAGTGCCTACTGTGTCTATTGGATAATCCAGCCCTGTCTAACCCTCACACATGATTAGTCACTGTCCTAATTATGTTCACTTAATATTTCATACGGTCCAAATTTCACACTACATGTTCATCAGTAACTGAAGCTTTTTCCATTGACTTCTGTCTTGTTTTGGGGAAGACGAGATCACACAAAAAATTGTAATACAGGTCACTAAGGTCAGGTGAGTTACGAACATGGTGAGTGATTTTTGACAAACAAATTTTACAATTCTTTTTTCTAAAGACATTCACAAATACCGACACAAACTTGACTGGATCTTGTGACGTCATCATGTACATAAACCTAATTTACTGACAGCAACCAACATTACAGAACATCTTTAACCTTAACTCCCTAGCATAATTTACTAGGAAACGTACCCAACCTCGCCAATTCCAACATCCAAATGGGAAATCGTACACACACACTGTTGGACTTAGTTTCTGGAGGTATGCCAAACCCAATGTAAAAGACTATCAGTTTAGGGGTACTGTACCCATTCTGACAGATTTCAACAACACCTGCTGTTGGACTTTGATGGGTTGAGTTCGGTTAGGGTTAAGGAATCAAAAAGAGAATACTTATACTTTTTATTTTAAGGCAAAGACTCACTGGTGATGATCTGAGGAAGTAAAGCAGATGCTTACCTTTTCTACTACCTTCGTTGGAGTCCGTTTCACTCAGGTCTAGACTTGCGCTCTGCTGACTGGACCAGCCCCGTTTGTCCTTCAAGATTGGGACAGGTATGGACACTGCAATCTCCCCTCTGGAAAGGAAACAGCAAAAAGAAGGGAACAATAGATCTTCTGCATTCGGCAGCCATCTTTTTTTTATTTAAGGCTGAAAATCCATGTGACTGTCATGCCTTAAGCATTGTGAAACGAGCGTAATGTGTAAATATCAGTTGCTCGTAAGTATCATACATACATCCATGTATTTGCATTGCGTATTACTTTACCAATATCGTACAAATCAATTTTCAGAATATACGAATCACAGATACAGAACTGGTGAATGCACAATGCAATACACACATCGAAAAAGGAAACATGGATTTTCAGCCTAATTCAGTACCAATAAATGCTCAAAAGGTCTCCTCGTTTATATCCCTGTGGAACAAGGCACAGATCTCAAAGATGGCCACAACGCAAAGGGTATACGGTAGTCAGCCCTGATTTATGACAATCCAACCTCATGCAGTGCAGGCTACACTGGAATAGACCTTATGCATTAAAGATAGAGAAAATCATTTGCAGCTATCCCAAAAGTAATTGACAAAATTATTGTTGAAAAGCTTACTTGGTTCAAAGTTCAGGATGGCAATAAACTCCATGTGAAATTATTCTTTCTGGCATGCTGTCATTTTGAAGAAAACAATAAATGAAGGCCATTTCCAAAGATGCGTCAAGTGACGCATTTTTGCGGTTCAGTGCGTGACATCAAGGAGCTATAATTGGCTGAATGAGAACAGTTCCGGATGCTGATTTCAGGCGCAAATCAAAATATGGCTTGGCAAGTTTTGAACTGAACATCAAGATCCTACAATATTGTTTTCTCGGAATATACAGTATTCACAGAGCTAAAACTTCATCAGGTTAGTTGTTAAGCACCCGTCTTTAGATTTTGGGCACTTTTGTTTTAAGACAGATTTCAAGGGCAATTGTTTTGTACTGATTGGGTAGGCATGAGTCAACCCTTTAGCTACTCAAGGCCGAGTACTGAGTTACAGACACAATGGTTGTAGATACTCACCCTGTGGGAAAGTCTCGGCACTCAACGGGCATGTTCAAACGGAAGTACTCAAAGGGCTGGTTCTCCACCGAGGCAAAGTTCTTGTGGGAAACTCGTAGACAAGGTGGTCCCTCAATGCTGCATATACAATTATTTTATTGTAGTTATTTCTTCAAATATATGCAAAATTCTTCAAGAAAATAAAGAAAGTTACAATGTAGTCTCCACCTCTGAAATCCCTCCCCTCCCAAAAAATACTTATAACATTTCTGAAATGCAAGGATTCACATCAGGTTTAGAGGTACAACCACAATTATTTCTTCTGTCATTTCTAAGTGAATTATGTAGTTAAAAACACCTTTAGGTTAAAGGGACATTACATCCCACAAAGCCCCCAAATGGGCTACAATACGTGTTTTAAATGAAATGATGTTAATTGGAAAGAGCATTTAAAAGAAGGATATACACGTCCACACAACCATCCTTTATAAAAACAGGGTGTTTTGTTTTATTCTTGCGAGAACCATGCGAGAACGACTTTCTGGGGTCAACATTTGGACTTTCAAATTCAAGCTGTTGAGTGTTAGTTGTGATTCCTGCCACACAGTGCATCGCATTCTGCGGACGTGCGAGAAATGACATTTGTGTGTTGGTGGTGTGTGTATTCCGTGAAACACACACAATGTGTATCGTTCATTGAATGGACATAGCTGATCTGATACACCGTGCCCTCTGGAGACGTGCACACAATAGGGAACAAAAGATTGTATACATCTCCAAAGGGCAATTTCTATAGATAAATACGTCTCCACAAGATTTTCACGAAATAGATATATGGATTTTACTCAAAAACTAGGAATTTCCAAAGTGGGTTGATCTGTCCCAAATGGAAGAGTTTTAGAAAAGGGATGTTAAGTCCGAATTAGCCAAGGAAATTAATTCTGGTTAAAATAAGAGCATTTTGAAACTTCACTTTCAAACGCGAAAACTCTGCTACACGAGAACAAAGAAATGTCTCCACAAGAATACAAATTTCAGTATGTGTGGAAATATGTATGCATATGCCACATTATGTCCGCCGCATCCGATGTAAACAACCAGGTTTATTCATCTTTTCTCAGGAGCAAAGACATTAGGTTAGTTTCCTTTCAACCAGACCTTTGAAATAGGATAAGTATACAATCCAAAACACAAAAGATTCAGGGAGTTCAGGCCGCAATACCCCTTAAAGACCTCAGGGATAAATTTGACATGAGCACAGACAGTGCATCTTTAAGATCCTCTCTTGTACTCACCCAGCAGGTACTCGAGTGACCTCCAAGTTAGGATGCTCCTCATGGATGGACTTGAAGACCGGTTGATGCCTGGTGTACCACAGCGGCATGGTCTTCTTCATGTTCCTGGTGTCAAAATCAAAAACGGGCAGGAGTTGTTTATCATTTGAACCTGAAATTGGCTGACGACACGTTTTGTTTATTTTATTGTCAAACCTTGTCTTTTTGATGTTGGAAAGCTTCTGTTGGAATTACCATCCGGAACAAAATCCTTAAAGTATACACATGCAAAATCATGAAAAGAGTTGTTCATTTCGAGAAAAAAAATCCTTTAAAAAAGGGGGGGACCAAATCTCTATTTCCTAAACTTTAAACTTTCAGGATTTCTCATATAATGGGGCTTACAGCAAATTAAATTTTAGATCTCAATGGTTTTGGTTTTTTCTGAAATATCCATCCCCAGGAAAAATATAGCTTAATAATCTGCAACCATCTTGTTTGTGTTCTGGTATATTTACCTGACATTAAGAGTGAAAAGTAAGTTTTACAGTTGAAAATGAGGGGTTTATTTTTAATACTGTAAAATCCACTGCTTTTTTTTGGGGGGGGGGGAGTGTTGGGTATAGACATATCCAAGCACGCTAACAATTCTTTCACGGAGGCCCCCTTCAATGGCAAAAGCATTGTGCTAGCTTTTGTTCAGATCATCCGCCCCGGGACAGCTGCTTTGCACCATAGCTTGCACAATGGTTTCTCCATTGAAGGGGGCCTCATGAGGGTACAGTGATCGCATGCCTGGATTGGTCGATATTTCCTCTTATTTTGCCATTCTTGTTGAGATTTTTCTTCCCTGTATTTTGACAATTAGCTGATCTTTTAGTCAACAGTTACAGTTTTTGGATGTAACGTTCAACAAGTAATTTTTGTCTTGGTAATTTGCTTAAATTGAGGTGGGAAAGGTTTTTTTTTATTTTGGTATTTACCAACATACTAAAACTGCACACAAAGTCGATACCACAGAAGAACGCTGCAATAACGAACGGTGTACCACTAAACCATAACTGTGGCTCTTCTGAACATCCCCTTGGCCTACCAACTTTCAAGTATAATTATACTGAGCACCGACGATCGTGCATTGCTAAATAAAAAAATGACTGCAATATTAAACAACTTTTCAAAATGTTTCCATTATAGCCAACTTCTACTGTGTTTGGTGCTGCACAATGCACTGCACGATTCCATGCACAATGAGCACAATCAACATAGTGGACATGATGGCATGTTGTCAATGTACATGTAACTAAAACTCTTGTCAAATGTATGAACATACTTGCATTCTAAAACAAAATTGTTACAAATAACTATCGATGAGTTCAAAAGGCAATATGAATAATCATTCGTGAGGTTTGACCAGATGAAAACATCTATGTAATAGCATGCATGACAAATGCAATGATATGGGTATGATTACCGGTAAAATGCAAAAATTGTATACATTTTAGTTATCACTGCACTTTATTTATGAGACAGGAATAAAGAAAAAATGGCGAATATTGAAGAGTTGGTTAGGCTCGTTTCCAGTGCTAAACCTGGCAATCTGAGGATGGGTGCTGCAATGTATGCAAATGAGAGAGGCAATGACCTGATATCATGCAATGAAGTCAGGTTACCAGTCTTCTGATTAGAAAACAGATTATAGGTGTGCACCACAAAGTGCATGTCGTAGGGACTTCTGATCTAGGGCGTCTCTTTTTCTTTCTAGGTTTCTCATATTTTCTTTGAAGTAGGGTCGGTCAGTATATACAAAAAAAAATTAAAATCTAAAGGAACAAAAAAGTGCAATTGCACCTGTATAGACGGTTAAATTAAATGATGCCACGTACATTGTCTCTAAGTTTTGTTTATTGCAATGATTTTATCATGAGTTGATATCACTGAATTAAATAATAAAACCATATTTGACAAAATGTAGTTGACTTTCATTATATCTGCACCAAGCAGCTCACTAACGTTTTGGCTGTAGTGGCAGCAATGACGTACATGTACCAGTAAAGGTACTATAGACACCTAGTATGCTAAAAGGGTCGGTTCGGGTCGGCTTCTGCTTGAATTTGTGTCAGATCAGGTCGGGTCAGGTCAGGTTGGGTCGGGTCAGGTCGGATTTTGGGAGTTCAGGTTTTAGAACGGTTTGGCCTGGTCAACCCGACCCGATGCACAACAATACTGTGATGTGTGCTTGCTCAAATCAAAATAATTTGTGCATATTCTATTGCTACATATACATGAACCAGTACTAGCTAGTGCTCATCAAGCCGTGTGTTCCACACCCCGGAGCTCTCTTGAGTGGCCACACAGCACATTCTACTGTTCCTACGGTGCAGGGAAGCCACAGAGAGATGGTACACCTCTGGGAAAACTGCTGCCAACAGGTGTGTGACAGGTGGACTTCCGTCGATTGATTGAACCGAGGCCAGAATGTGGAATGAGTGGACTTACAGGACATCTACACGAGACACACATTCAGGCACAACACTTGTATCAAGTACACTGAGGTGATACGCACTGTGAAAAAAAGGCGTGCCGAGTACGGACATGTCTATGTGATGGCTCGACACAAGGTACACAGGTGATCAATTGGACACGGATGAAAATCTGCCGGGATGCAAGATGCACCTATCAACCAGATTTTCTCCTTGATCAGCGTGATATCACCATTAAACAAGGCTGCTACAACCAAGAACACTATTGCCTAGTAAGTTGAGTCCAAAATCAGGGGGAAGAATTAGGCCATCAGCCAGGGGGTTTGGTCAGTATCAAATCAGGACATAAATGATTATAGTGCGCATGCGCAAGGTATACCACCCCTAGAGTGGTAACAAGCATTTTGATGGACATTTTGAAAAAAAGGGTAATAACACCCAAAAAGCTGCCACCGCTGCAATGCTATCACATATTTTCCAACTCTGGAGGTGTATACCTTGCCAAAAATCGCTATGACGATTATTCCCCTCATTTGATACCGGTGGCCAACATTTTGGACCGAGGCTGATGGCCTAAATGGGGGACAATAAAAATGAATCAAAAATATTTGGGGCAACACATGGTCTATCTACATATATTATGTACGTATTTGACGTGCCTAATAAATGCCCTGGTACAAACCTTTGACCAAACAAACAGTAATTAACTTTTTTTCATTTAGGCTTTTTTAACATCAACGAATCTGGCAAAAAATCCGGAAAAATCTCAGCCCTGCAAATTACTTGAGCAGAGTCTAGCCCCGACTCCGAGTCCAGTAACTAGAAATTTCACAAGATGGTGTTTTGAATCACTTTGACCAATCGGACAAATAATACGGGAATAAATATGTGCTTGGCCAGTCTTAAACAAGTACGTTTAAAACCGGCTAGGGGCCTGGTCACGGATAATGGCCGGAGCTGAATGCGCGGGTCATTATCAATGTCCAGGCACCTAGCCGGTTTTAAATATACCTGTTTAATACCGGCCAAGCACATGTATTCCCATTCATTAATACGGTAAAAACAGTCAAAACAAGTCAAAAATTCACAAATTTCCTACGATATTGATCAATACTTTTACTTCGTGTTTTGCGAAACACCCCTCTGGCCATGTCTATGGTATGTACATGTACCTCACATGCGTAGGGCTAAAAATCTCTTAACATGGAAATTGGCACGTGCGCGGTGTGGCGCATAACGCAGCAATGCTTTACTGGCGGTTTAAAACCACCCACGTGACGGGCTCTCAAACCAAAGAAAATGGTAAACTGTCTCAGGTGTTTACGAATGTTTACTAAAGGACCACACACCTCTAACTAAAGGTTTTTTTTGTTTTCATGATTGTGAAACACAATGATCGGACACAGTCCTACATGACAAAGTGCAATGACGTGCAATGACGATAATGACATGACACAGACAAAAAAGCCACTACAGCTGAGTGATGTTGACAAGCTATTATCGATGATCTACAGCACTCTTCCCGCTCCTTGGACTAAGGACAAATGTTTTCGCTTTAAGGGGATCCCCAAACTGTGATGATTTTATTTTTTCAAAACATACAAATTAACTTTGCTCCAAATCAAGAACGTCATTTGAATTCAGTTTTCTGCTTCGAAATGAACGATTTTGCATTTACAACGTTTTTGTAGAGAACAAGGTAAAAGAGCATGCTGAATTCTTTTTTGATGAAGGTATAATGCGAGTAAAATTCATTTATAAGAAAAAATAGTAAATGCATGAAAGATTTCTAGCAAACAGAGCAATGTAATCCAGCCATAAAATTTCAAAAAAAAGCTTTTCAATGACGATGGAACTTATGCAGAGTTGTCAGTGTAGAATGCAGTGCTCTTGTTCCGTAAACACACTGGAACAAAGCATACATGTACCGGGTACCGATTATTCATTTCTGGTTTTTGAAATAAAATGACAATAACTTTTCAAGATGGCTGTCATGCACAAAGAAGCCTTAGAATGTATGCTTGATTTCTTTTAAAATATTTATCGACTTTTTGTTCAAATCACAGTTTGATATCGCCTTGTAAACACATACCCTTTGATGAACGCATTCCGTCTAGAACACCAGGGGGCGTAAGAACAGAAGTTAGAACAGACAAGTACATGTATGAGAAACGAAAGAACGCCAAATTAAACACCAAAATGTTAAAAACTTCTAAATTCTAAAGGTTAACATCTGAAGCAGTTTTAAGTTGAAAATGCAAAAGATTAATAATATCACCACCAGCCGAGAGAATTAGTTGTGCTGTGATAAACATAAAAATGCTGCACACAGTTTTTTTCCCAGTTTCCCAACAAAAACAAAATGGAGTGAAGAGAAATATGCATTGTCAAATATTTGTATGAAAGGAAAAATCCACCAACTTTTCAGAGAGTTGCATCGCAAAGATACTGCTTAGTGAGTTTTTGTGGTAAGCAAAAATTGACCGAGTACCAATGAACAGCAACATACAGTACATGACATGTTGGTTGGTGACCTATTTTTGCTTAGCGAGTCCGTTCTGTGCTGAGCAGAATTCAGTGCTGAGCAGCTCCGTGAAATTGACCCCCCGGTGATGAATAAATTCTTTGAACTCTCATTGGATAATTTTTTTTTTAAATTAACCAGTGACCTGAAAGACACTTTTTACACTGTCAAACACGAAATGAACAAGCATTGGTCATGGTTGGAAGTCCCCCACAATGCTTTGTGTTTCCTTCGCAATATTTTGTGACAGAAAGAAGCTGTTACCGGCACCCTTGGAACTTGGCAAGAGCATGTAGCTGCGTCTACAAATAGGGCTTCAAGATCTACAGCTACGTCTAGTGTCAGTATTTTTCCATGAAGATCTATATTAACCGAGACCTAGACAATAGCTCCAGTGGGAAGTGTGACCTAGTGGTTAGTGTTTGTGACTCATGATCAGAGGGTCAGGGGTTCAAATCCAGCTGCTGGTCATATGTTGTGTCCTTGGGCAAGCCACTTAATCCCTACTAGCCTCTCTCCACCCAGGAGTAACTGGGTACCAGAATTAGCTGGGGAGTAACCTACGATGGACTGGCAATCCTATCCAGGGGGAATACAAATATTCTCAGTAACTGTCATTAAAACCAGACCTTAATGCATGCAAACTTTTCTTTGACAATAGCTCTAGATAACAGATTCGGATGTAGCCCTTAGACTTGATCAGCCATCACGGTGTTGCTATGCAAAAGCCGATGTCTAAATCAAGCATTCCGGCCTGCGGCTATGGATAACCACAGTTGGTGAGCCAACTGATAAAATTCAAGCCGTATCCACTCAGGCTGGTTTCAGAATAAGCCAGTTCTGTATTTCAACTGCGCATGTGCACAATGATATGGGTCACGGGTCACTCGGGACAATCAAACATTTTGAAGACGCATGAACGCGCGGGCGCACGACGCTTGCATGTAAATTACCAGCAGAATGGGCGAGCGCGTAACATCACGTCAGCAATATTATCCCGAATGACCTCGGGTCATTGAAATAACAAACTGGCTTATTGGCTGGAGAGAGCCTATGCCCATGATAGATTGGTAGCTATGTAATGACCAAAGTCATCATTAACTAATTTGCACCTGTACTTGTATTACTTTGTACACCGTATCACATTGTATTCATTTCCTGATGAATTGTAAAAACAAAATGGTTTACAGCGGTACAGAGAGTTACAGGCAGGGCAGTTTGGGGCGGTTCAGGGACTAATAGGTTTATTCAGTGAGGATTTGGGGCACTGAATATAAAAGGCAACAACTGGAAGTTCCCTCTTCCTACATTTTTTTCACCAAAATGTCAGTTGAGAAACCGAAAGAATGGAAATCTACTATTTCAAAGAGGGGAACTAATTTAAGGTGGCATCTTGTGACTACAGTTTGTTTTTGCCATTGGCCTGCTATGGTAAATAGCCTAGCCATTGAAAACAATTCCAATTTTGGCCATGGTCCGAGGATGCAGTTTTGCCTAAGCAACAACAGCAAGAGTCAGAAACTTGTGGGTTTGTTTGTTTTTTTTGCTTATTTTTGTAAGTCTGGCAACGAAAGATTTTTCACAAGGCCACAAAGTGACAAGAGAAAATTAAATGACAAAAGAGAGGCATCAAAAATGTGTTCCACTAAAGGAATGACTTACAATCATCTTACACTTTGCAAAAGAATTTAACTAAAGAATTTAACTAAAATCGATCAATTCACCACAGCAAAAATACAAGCCCTCTTTGAAATTGTCTTTTGCTATAATGACAAAAATAGCTTAAGCTGGAAAAAACAAAGTTGCACAAAATAAAAGTAACACAAAATAAAAAAAAAACGAATTGTATTGAAGATGTTTTATATGTTAATTAAAAAAGTTTCTAGCTTACAATCTGGTCACAGTGATAGTTCCACTATAATGAAAAAGCTGGTATTAGTAAACTAACATTGTATGGATTAGTATATTATTCAACAACTTATTCTGTTTTTTTTGGGGGGGGGGAGGGGGTCAACAGGCCTGTTTGTCTGGTTTTGTTTGTGTACTTGTTTGTTCACTTACACACAGAATGGCTCGTATCCCTCCTGCAGGCCACACACGGTGAAATATTTCAGCGCATTCAAGTCCTGTATCAATGAGAATGAGAGTAATCACTAGCTGCAAACTGTGTAAAACTACATGTAACAATCTTCAAGCAAACTTGAATCCTCGATCCTGGTTGGTCGATCAATGGCAACAACCCGCTGTATAAATATCCCATACACCACGGTCTGTGTACCAGTGACCCCGCGTATCCCGCTACCCTAACAGATGTGCGCACTATCCTGTCGCACGTTCGTGTAATAGGATATCCGCTGTAAAGCGTGTGGGTTCCGCTAAATGATGGGTTCCACATGCATACGGTAGCACGGATTCCCTGGGTGTGAGATTTAAAGACTTGTTTCATCTGTTTCAGACATGCATTCAAGAATTACGTCAAACTTAATCGTTATGAAGATAAGAACTGTGTTCAACGTTTGACACAATAGACCATTATCATGTTGCAGCCATTTGATTTGATTTTTCCCATTCAAATCAATATAACCAAAACGAGGCTGGAAGGAAAATTAGTCTGGTTCCTTTTTGCACAAAAACATTATCATTCAGTACTGTTACTGGATACAGGGAACATGACTAAAATGGTGGAAGCATGATAAAGGTCTACAAGGAGTGACTACACACTAAAAGTTGACTGTTGCAGTCATTAAAGACGATTGCAAAGTCAATGCTGTTGAAAATCAATGCATAAAGTTTGCCTGTCTGAAATCTAGGAAAGAATGTTGCAACCTGACGCCACTTTTTCTTTGTGTATCATCTCAATAAAGGTTAGTCATTGCAAAAAAATTGAAAAGACATGAATCTGGGACTGAGAAACATTTCCAATTTTGTTTGAAATACTTCACAAATTTTCTTGACTCTCCATAGACTTTGTACACAAACGCTGAAGTGGCGTCTGGATACTACGTTCTTTCTGAAATCCAAACCTATTTGGGTTGACCCGAGTCACTCCCAGTACATTTAGATAGGTGTCACTCTACTCAAGATATCCGAGTATGGGATGAGAAGACTAACAACATGAGCTTACCTGGCCAAAGCAGAGTTTTGCCTGCTCACCAGAAGCTATGGTAAAAGCTGGAACAAAACCTATGGACAGGGAGAAATAAAAATAGATAGCAAATCATATGACACTCGTTGGCTGAAGTTGTCCAGATGTAAGCGATATTCTTTAAGGCCTGTAGTGGACTCCTTACACAAGTACCCCCTCAATAGTGAAAATGAGACTGGATAAAGGGTGAAGACCAGTAAATAGGCCCCAAAATTGCCTACACCGGCCAAATCACGACTTGCATGCCCTCAAATTCTCCGGATTAGAGCATTTTGAGGGCCATGAACTTGAAAATTTGTTAAAAACGAAGGGTGGAAGCCGTGCAGAGGACTGCAAGGTGGTATTGGTGTGAAATTTGGATGAAATTAGGCCCTAAAATGGCTCTATTTTGCAAAGGAGCGTAGGCGTCCGTTTTCAAAATGGCGATGGGCTTCAGGCCTGCTTTTAGGGGTGATTATCTATGGATGAAATTTTCTTACAAAAGCCATTGGTAAGTGAAAACCCCTCAAAAATTGATAAATTGGAAAATTAACGATGATGAATTAAGATTTAATTTGATGTGTGTCTCAGACACCTTGGAGAGTTGTGAGTATTATTAATAATTTTGGAAAGTGCGAGCAATTATCATTGAGGTCTATGGCCATCTATTTACTGGTCGGCAACCTGGACACTGATATTTATAGAACCATTGGCAACCAACTTGCCTGGTGCTGGCTGGTAAGTGTACATCGTAAAAAAATTGAACACCACGTGACCCAGCCAAGCGTCTTTCACATGCACTTATCTTTAAGTCTCAAAAAGCCTTGCTGCTGTAGATCTGGGGGGTTTTCTTAGTCTTTTTTTTACAGACCCATAAACTGACTGGCTTGCCTTATGCTGAGATGTCTTTCTCTGAATTTACAAAGAATCACACAGCCTGAACTAAGAAAAGAAAATATTACAAATTAAACCAGTTAGTTTCTCTTACCTTCTTCGATCTCAATGTCTTGGAAGGCTGACTCCATGCCACAGAAGTCAGTCAGAAACTCTCCATTTAGGGTAAAACCTAAAAAAGAAGAGCATGATAAGTTAACCAATCATTATTTCATTAAGACAATAACTAGTGTGCACAGCACAGGGTACACAATTTGCTAAACAGGGTGGATCAAAAAAAATGAAACCGAGATATTATTGCTAACTGAAGCAGAAGGGCACATGTGAATCAAAGGGAGATATCCTCTGTTAGGGTTGAATATCCTCTTGAAAATGACACCCTGATCATGTTGTTATGGCTGTGTGGCAGCGCAGTAGGGCATGGCCGCCACACCCCATAGGGGATCGACACAACGAACAGATAGACAGTTGAAGACAGGTTTGCAGAACAAAACCAACTATCTTTAATTAAAACAACTCAAACAATTTTACAACTCGTTCTAATACAGCTTCGTGGGCCCAAGCAATCCGACAGCATGTTGAGGAACACACAAAGTAATAAGAGTTAAGGACTCGTGGCAAATTAACAATGGACAAAAATGTGGGCCGGTTCAGGTAGCTTCACAACAATGTCCTTACATTCACGATAGACTGAGCAGTGACCAATTTTATGAAAGCGTTTTGCAGGACGCGTCGCAGTTGCGACGTACCATAGGGAAACGACACGTCGCAGCGCTGCAATGCATCATAAGTTACAATGAGTTACATGAAATTGGGTGCCGGGTGTGTTACATCAGCTGTCGAAAAAGACACCTGTTCATTTGCCCTCAAGTTTCATCAGTTACTATGAACTCAAGTACCAATCACTTTCAAGAAACTGGGTCTGAGAATGAGAGAAGGGAATTTCAGAAGTTCCTAACTGTCTGCGCCCACTTGTATCAGAATGTACTTACTGACTGTCCTGTGTGTGATATCGAGCATGCATCCAATCACGTCGTTCAGTCGCCAAGTCTTGCCAAAATTCTCTGAACCGTTGTGCCACTTGCGAGCCTAGAGAGGGAAGGTATTAGCATACGATCGATTTTCAGAGACTTGTAGAGTTATCATTCAATGAGAACAAATTACAATGATTTTTAAATTGAAATGGTATTTTTCAAATGCATTAATTAACCTAAACTGCGGGAATGCTCTTAGTTATAAGGAAATGAGAGGGCTTTTTTGTAATCAGTTTAGCAATCCCTTGTCACCAAAGGATGTATGAACTGTGGAGAAAGTGCACAGTAAAATCTGTTATGTATTTATGTGTGATGTTTGTCCTTTTCGTATTTTGTTTACAGTATCAAGAACAGATAAATTTTGGTTAAGAAACATCTAAATTACCCACATCTTGACACTGTTACTAAAGAACTAAGGATGAAACGGTTGTATCAGGTTAAAAACGCATGCATACATAACTATTTTCTCCTTATTTCTATTATTTATTTGATCACAACAAAACTCCATGTGACACCAAATTATAAACAAAGCAGTTTTACACTGAAATATCAACAACAATAAACCAGTAGAAATAAAAAGACAATTAGACAAACTTAGTGTGAATGAGGGGAACACGCAAGTATGCGATATCAAACAGGAGAAATACAACTCAAACCAAACTAGTTCACTATGTACTCAGTGTGCTAACGCAGCTTCCTTACCAAGAATCCATCAAAGAGATACGCCTTGCCGGTGGTAGCCAGATCAACCTCAGCACTGATGGAAGGATGGGCCCAACCCACACGCATCAGACCGGTGGTCAGGACCTCAAACTCGTAATACCTGCAATTCAACAAAGTCGAAATGTTACGGCAATTGGTGCATGATATTACACCATAGGCATAGCCAGCGGGGGGTAAGGGGGTATTTACCCCCCAATATTTTGTAAAGACTGCCCTTTCCGTTCAAATGATCTTTCTTTCACCAGCGCTAACCCCCCCCCCCCCCCCCCCCCCCCCCCCCCCCCCCCCCCCCCCGCAATATTTGCAGAGTCCTTCTTTTGTGAACAAGTGCCCTTTTTATAAAAACGAAGTCGCGCCCTTTTTGTGCAAGCGGCCATTACGGGTGCCTTTTTTAAAAAAAAATTGTGCATGTATCGCCCTGAAAAGTGCAATATATTGTCCGTTAGTATACATAATCATCGGTTTTGAACAGCGCCCCCAGCAGATGGTAAACCCCCCACCCCACACCCCCCTCCCACTATTTGATTTTACAGAGGCCAGGTGTCCAGAGAAAAATACTTGTCTAAAATTTCAGCACGGATGTGCAAGTGCCCTTTTCAAGAAATGTTTACCCCCCCCCAAAAAAATACAAATGACCTTGCTACGCCCCTGTACACACTCGTAGCTGCAATATTATGTAAAGTATAGCAATAAAGGCCTAATCACAAAGAAGGGCGGTAACAGAAAGTGGAGGGGAAAAAAAACAAGCATATCACATGTCAGTAAACTATTACACATGGGTAGGAAACTGCACAGAATTGTTAATTTATGCAAATTATTGAAAGCTATACGAGTTGATGTTAGGTCCAGCTCCGTAACATCATGTCCACCAAAGCAGCGATTGGCCAGAGGGCAGGTTTATCACGGTGTTTTGGGGGGAAAAGTCAGTCTCTAACATTTGCTCTAGCATGACAAATGTACATGGGCAGTGTTACATGTAATTGGCCCGTAATTAGAAAATATTGAATTCTAGTCATGATACGTTGAGCAGGTTCAGCATGCAAGGTCTAAGTCAAGGTTTAAGTATATTTCAAAACGTGATTAACAATTACAAATCAATGGAAAGACACTCTCCAACAAATTTCCATCAAAAGATTTTATTTTCTTAACTAAGCTATTTCCAACAACTTATGTTTTGAGAGTATCCTGAGCAGCAAAAAGAAGAAGTGGCCACTACCATTTGCCAGAGGAGACTGCGTAGGTTTTCTCGGCCCGGAAGGTTCTCGTAGTCTGCTTACTCTCCGAGAGTTCCCTCACAAGACCTAGAAACAAGAACAAACAAAAAAAGTTGACAAAACATCTAAAAAAAAATTACAGTCTTTTCAAGAGAAGATTTTGGACTGACAATTAATCCAAAAATTTAAAGAGGAGGAATATTTGCACTAGTAACTCATTTCATAGCAAAATTAAAATGACTGTAATTTTTTTTGACAAACTGGTATGTATGAGTATCCCGCTTCAGTGACAAAGAGAGAGATAGACAGTCACTTTAGTTGCCACGCCAAATGAAGACCCCGAATGTGCACATTCACCACATGCACACAGTGTGTCCTGCACATGGGCTTTCATGAGCAATCAGTAAGCGCCATGTATTCTTCATGCATGATGTCCACACAACTCAAAGTCCATCACGCAATAGAGATAATGGTTAGATCATTCATTTCAAATTTCTTTTATCAGCTACAAATCAATTATCCCGACTTCAAGCTCTCTGAATACCAAGCCCTGCCTCTGAAGCTGTTGGGTGGCCTAGTGGTTAGGGTTCGCGACTTGCAATCAGAGGGTCAGGGGTTCGAATCCAGCCGCTGGCCATTAGTTGTGTCCTTGAGCAAGCCACTCCACCTCCACTTGCCTCTCTCCACCCATGAGTATAAATGGGTACCAGCATTAGGGGGGGGGGGAATAGAAATACTCACAGTCGTTTTGTGCCAAGGAAACCGGCCACTATGGCTTGTGACAAACTTTACTTTACTTTTTGTTTTACCTCTGAAGATAGATTCCTGGTTGTCTGGCGGCGCCTCCAGTGTGTAGCCAAACCCTAAGATGGTCCGTACCGTCTCACTGGCCGTGTCACGGTTGAGTTTCTTGGAAGAATCGTTTAGCTGGCTGTATGGCACCAACTGGGGATTGCGCTTGAACGTGTTGTCCTACGGCAAAAAAAACATGAAGCTTTTTTTACTTTCCAAATGCTTCCCCTTGAATATTCCAAAATGTCCAATTACAGATAACCAATGGATCATTCTCCTTACTTTCCTGACAATAACATCCAATAAAAAAGTAATGACTCCCTCCACAATCCGACAAAATTTCTCATAACTCCTGACAGTTTCTGAAGGATTGAGGAGGGATAAGATTAAGGCGGACAGGCTAAATACCCCCTGTTCACTTACCGGGAGCCGCTTTCAATTGAGCCCCTCTTTTATCGGCTCCCGCTTGAAAAGAAAGCGGGTGACCTGTTTCTACAAACCATCCCACGGTTGGCACTCCCGGCTCCCGCTACAAATAACCATGATTTTTATAACAATGAATCCTGCGGTTTCATACCCATCAGTGTCGGCTTCTACTCACCGACCGCAAAGACCTGGTACATTGCTAATCCTCTGATCTTTTGTCTGCCCTAAACATACAAGCCCCACTGCAAACCGTCACCATGCACGGCTGTACCGTGTGCGTTCATGCGTGGACCGTCTCCCGCTTTGGCTTGAAGGGTCCCACACTTCCTCAATAACAATACCGTCCCACGGTAAATGAACAGGGGGTATTTAGCCCGCCCGCCTAACACATATGCATGAAGATGAATTTGAATTTTAACATTATATCAGTTTTCTATAAAGTAAAATGAGCATGTGGAGGAAGGTGTATTATAAAATAATTGGGGAGTGGGGGCTAAACCCCCCACTCCAAAGCATGGATACGCAATCTTCTAATTGCGTGCCAATGCAGCGACAAGATTTTTTTTATCTTACATCTGAGAGTCCATAGGTCCAGCCTTGCCCAATGCGGTCCCTGGCCCAGACGTTGTGAGCATTCTCTGCAAGCAGCTCCACCAGTTTCTCCATCTTGGGGTTCAGGGTGATTGTGGAGAGATTGTAGGGGGAGGGTTTGTAGCCGTTGGACATGACGTAGCTGGTACAAAAAAAAAATTGTGAAAAAATGACAAATCTGGGTTACTTTGGGGTTTGGTATTTTGGGGGTTTCGGGTTTTGGTAACATGACAAGGGCTTTATTTTTGACTTAGGCATTTGCTTTTTAGGTTTTCAGTTTTGGTTTGATTTGGTTATTTGTCAGGGGAAAAAAATGGCATTCGAAAACTGGGGATGAGCAAATGCCTACTGAAATCAACCTTGAGAAAGTTTGGGGAGACCACCGGGAGAGACATTTAAACCCATTGCTGATGACGCCTGTTGCTCACGCCAAGACGCTATTGGTTTTTACACATTCAGAGTAAATACGTTACAGGTAATTTGCGCCACACGCGCAAGAACCAGTACGCAGACTCAGTGCGTCCCTCCCACGGAGAAGCGCCATAGTCTGTCCATGCACAGAAGCCACACTCTCAGTGCAATCTACGGTTTTGGCAAGTAACATGTGGTCTTGTCCTATCTAATCGTCTCACTCACTTCATGGGCAGACGGAGCCTCTTCAGAGTTGCCTTTGACGATTCCTCATCAATGCTGATGTGATACCCCAGTGCAATCAAGGTTCTGTGAAAACACAAACAGAAAACATTTGATTTCATTGGCTGTTTTGACAACTGTGTTTAAATCTTTATTCGATCTAATGTTGTGCCAAAATGTAAATCTTTCAGACAAACTTTTGTAGGCAAGTTTACTGCTTTCATGCAACAGTAAACACGATGTCTCCCTTGATGACCTTTTGAGCATTCTGTTACCCTAAAGTTAACCTCCTTAACGGGCAAGGTTCAGGATACCATTCAAAGCAGTCAATTGCTGTATAAATATTCACTGTGTAAATAATCCTACTGAATGCCTAGTCAGTATGTTTTTCATTCCTTTGGTGGAATGAAAACAAACAAAAAGTTTGCAGATATCGATCTTTCTCTTGTTGTCTCAAAATGTTATCATGACAGACAAGGGAAGGCAGGCCAAAGACGTACTCTCTGAAAGTGTTGAGAAAACACTCTCACAAGCAGTTCTTTCACAACCAACACTGATATTCACACGTTGCCATTCCTAAATGTCACTTCTGTAGAATGCCTAGCGTCTCATTTTACCTCAATGTCTCATAGGCCATGGTGCTGTCAAAGTTCTTCTCTTCCTCGGTCATGTTGTGGAAGAAAGTCAGGCAAGGATGCGTCTTCTTGGTGTCAGAGCGAACCTGAGTAATGAGAACAAAATTGAGACGTAAGCTGCTAATAAGGCAATTCACCAAGGTCAGTAGTCCAATTGTGCATATGCACATCAAGATTTGACCATCTTCGCTTTGAGATAATGCCAGTTTGCACTTCACGAAAGTTGAACACATTTCAACTGCAGCAAATTTTGCAGTGCATGTTTCATGATATCACATTTGCTTTGCCTTTGCATTCACATGAAGTATAACCCGGCCTATAGACACAGCAGAGAAATGAACACAAGTCTATGGGGATAATGGTAGTTGTAACTAACCCTGCAACATCGTTGTTAATGCTATAAACTTTGAACCATATCAATAAGCCAGTTCGGTATTCCAACTGCACATATGCACATCAAGATTTGCCAATTTTTCTTTCGGGATAAAATTTGATCGTATGCCTGCAAAAGCATAGCGGGGTACCAACAAAATTGAAAAGATCATCGTGTTCTAAAGTATAACATTTTGTGAAGTGTTTTAAGGTGACTTTTGTGTCAAAACTTTTGTGCATAACAAAGTTCCATCTCTTCTCGATTGCACGAAAAATTGCACAGAATGCAGATTTGGTTACACTCCCCCATAGCATTGTGTGCATTTATCTGCCGCGGTTATCCCTCCCGGAAAATCATTGAATCTTACGGTACACCAGACTATTTCGGAATACCGAACTTGCTTATTGGAGCACTGCAAAGTCCTGTATTCACTTCAGCATTTTCTATGATTTCATTGGTTACCACTTCTATGAAGTTATACAGCAAATGATCAACAGACCAAAAAAGTGTACCTATTGCAACAAACAACCTCTGCAACAACATGTAGTTAAGTAGCACTTGGTTCTGCACTTCTTTATAACTGGTGTCACCCGTCAATGTCACTATGATAATGTACACTCACCGGTCCCCAGCTCCAGCCGGCTTCTATCTTGTTCATGCACCACAGTTCATGCACATTCTCAGCCAGTTTGTCTCGCAGCATTTCTATGTATCCTGGAAGGACCACCTGAGACACAATTTAAAAATTAAAAAATCTTAAATTTAAAAAAGTTACAATGCAGCACACCATTTACCTATGGCTCTGGCAACTTGTGAATCATTCGGTTGAGTCAAATTTGCTTCAGTTTTCACTAGCCCATCTTGGTGAAAAGTCCTTTCAAGTTTTTGATGAACTGTTTAGTTTTTATGTCTTTTTGCAAAATAAACAATGACAAAATTATAATATAAGTTTTCCCGGCTATTTTAAAAGATTTTTCACTCAAAATCACCAACTCTATCATTTAATTTCGTCCACGAAAAATTTCACAGGCTTTTATAACAAAACCAATTTTGTCATTTACCATTCAATTATAAAGTTTGGTCACCCTCTTTAGTCACCGGGTCGAGAATATTCGTCATTACTGATCAATTTCCTCTAGTTGTTGACGAAAGGCAGCATTCAAAGATCAAATTCATCTTATATAAATCAATTAAACGAATTTGATTTCAGAATAACACAATTCGGCGTAGACGAGACGAAATTGAATACTCCGGGTCGAAAACGTGTTTGAATTTGTTTGGACTAAATTTGAAATTGTCTGACAGAAGACGAAATTGAACATTGGAAGTGCACTAAATCGATGTTGCGGGACGAATTAGAACATAATAATTGGTGAATTGAACGAAACAAGTTTTAATGTAGCCGGAAAAACCTATAATAATAATAATGAAACTCACACTCTGTGTGTCGACCGGCGCCGGTACAAAATTAGCCTGATCCCTGCAGGGCTGGGGTCCAGTGATGATGCCCTCCTTGAGATCACCGATGGAGAAACATCTCTCAATCTTCAGCTCTTCTTTAGGCATGAGGGACTCGTAGACGGGAGCGAAACCCTTCGGGGGCGTGTACTTGAAGCGACCCTGCTTGCCGCCTAAGATTATATGAGCGCTGGGTGGGAAAAAAGGAAAAGTATTTTATGCAATACTTGTTTAAAAAAAGAATGAAATGATTTTTACCACTTCACATGAAGTTGTATATTCGTGTGTATCACTTGAAATATGGGTGGGGTTTCAAATGTTGAAGTTGAAACGCATTTCCAAACAAAGTTTCAGTTTGCACTGAAAATGTTCACTCTTACATTTGTATGACGTGTGAACTGGTCTAAGCTCAGCATGCAACATGGTATAGTAAGATTAATTATACTGTCCTCTGAAACAATGATGTTGTAATGTTGTTGTTGTTGTTGTACTTGTATGTATGCATTTGTTTGTGCTCAAACTGATACTCACAAATATATATTACCTGTATAGTCATAACCGTACTCATGTCAAATACTCATAAATGCACTCATAATCATAAAAATGTTCTCCTTCTGGGATTTAACCAGTTTTTGGAGGTATAAGCAGAAAAAGAACCCATTTTCTATGCTTTGGTAAGCTGTTGCATATATTTAATGCCCAGCCTGACAAAATTGAAATGTTCTTGTACTCATGGAAAAGTACTCGTACTTTAATTATTTCTTACAGAAATGCACTTGACTTCAACACTGCCTTGAATGTGTGCAAAAGATACATCTGATGTCAATATATAAAAAAAATTTAATTAACTGTTTCACTCACGTGATGTTTGCCGTCAGACTCAGGACAGGGAAGAACATGCCTTCCAGGTTGAAGTTCTCAAAGGCGGCCTTGACCGGATTGCCGTTGACATGGAAGAGGATAGTGGGCAAGCTCAGATCGAAGCAGACACCGATGATGTCGCCCTTAATGAGGGGTCGGCTGCCGTTCCACGAGGCTGGCTTGCTGTCACCACCTGAGGAAAAATGACACACAAGCCACAAGTTTTATCTCACTGTATTTATTCCTCTCTGGCGTCATCGTAACACAGTCATCAGACAAAGCTGTGCATTTACAATGTAAGCGTGTTGTCAGTACAGAGCTGAAACATAGGCCCTCCCCAAGACCCAGGCTCGTCAACCAGGTAGCTTTGAAATTAGAGCCCTCAGAACCACGGAAACCTGGGAAATGGGTCTGTCCACACTAACAGTTACAACTGATAACTTTATGGGTGAGACATAGGAGGTGGATTTCAAAGCAGGTTTTTTGTTAAGTTTTGTTTTTTAGACATTCCTGTATTATTCGTGATTGCACTGATAAATACGTAAGCTGATTCACTTGATATGTAGGAAATTACTAGGCCATCTTTGAGATGAAATGAAGGATAATGTTCATAATATGGACACACATTCATGAATCATACTATTGATCCTTGTTATGATTAATCCATCCCTTGTTCCATTTATACTACTTGTTAAATGTAGAATTGGTATCATTCAACATTGAAGCAACCTGTTTAGTATTTATGAAATAAGGATGCGACTTGATACATGTTCATAACATGAACAGAAATTTGTGACACAATTTCTGTCCCTGTTATGAACATGAAGTCTTGAAGATATGTACACCCTGTACTTTAAAATACCTAGAGGTTTAACCTAATATTGTCCAGTGGTAATCTCTCAATGGATAGCTTTACATTAGGAACACACTTGGGAAACTTCATGTATTTCATTTACTGCTTCCCAACACTTAAAAATGAAATGTCTGTCCATGTTATGAGCGTTAAATCTTGAAGATAATTCTCTGTAATTTCTCGAAACCTGGGAAATGTATCAAACTTGTTGGTGGGCAATGTTCTTACTAGGATATTGGATGTAGAAAGAGGAAAACATGACAGATTACTTCATGTATTGACTCTTGTCCATGGTTCCCTCTAAATGTCACACTTTTGTTACCGTTTGTGTGGAAAGACCGAAATAGCAAACGGGGATCACTCAGAGAGGATACGGCTTTTATTACTAATCGGTTTTGTAACATAATGTGACAATGACTAGGTTCACTTGATAAATTGAAAGACCAGGGGCGGATTGCAATAACGCAGTCTTAGTCGGCTGGCTAAACCAGTCCAATTTTAGCCGGCTATTGTTCTTAGACGGTCTTGGTTAAGACACCAAACTTAGCCCATTGCAATAAGCTGGTCTTTACTAAGCCCGCTTAGAGTAATGATTCACAAACAAACATTCCATGGTTATGGGCGAATACTGCAGAGACTGGTTACGGGCGTATACTGCAGAGACTGTACAATTTTTTTTTTTAGGTTTGTGTGATTCATATCATGCAAAGTCAAATGTCAATTCCGAAATTTTATGTTCAGAAAATTGTATTTGCAGTACAACTCAGTGTCATTACATTTTTTCAGAAGATCCCTTCTATCCCAGAGAAGTTTCGCTCCAAGCAGTGTTCTGCTATTTTAAGATTTAATTATCAAACACTCATCAACTGGGAAAAAATATTTTGGGAAAGAATAATTCAACACACCAATGAATTCCAAAAATCCCAACTATAGACCATTTTAAGCCAGCCCTACCAAGGCTAACTATTTTAAGACTGTCTTAATACTTAGACCGTGTCATTGCAATGGTCTAACTTACAGACTGACTGACAGCCAGAGCTTTTAGACTGTCTAATGCGCATAGCCAGCTTTAAGACCGGTTATTGCAATCCGCCCCAGGAACAGGGCAGGGAGAGTCAGTTGGTTGAGTGACTGCAAGTCTCCCCGAAGTCGCCGGTTCAGATCCTGCTCCACTTAAAAGTTATCCGAAATCAAATTTCCCTGATGGTGTTTTAGATAATTAGCTCACAGTTAATAACCTAAAGTTAAAACAAAACATTAACTGGAAAGGGGCAAGGAACAATTAACTAACCTGTCCAGAGGTTCAAACCATCGAACCCATAGGAGCTGAGATCGTCCCCGACACCGACACTCCCCCATCCCTCACTGCCCCGGGGGAGGGGTAGAACCCCTTAGTGTTAGCCCAGCCTACACGGAACTTGAAGGGTCTTGGTGTGGCGCTCTCAATCTGGCCGATGGAGACCTCATAGTACCACTTCTTGTAGACGGCGTTACCGTCCGACAGGCCGACGAAGATGTTGGGTCTCATACTGGGCAATGAAAAAAATCAATAAATTAAAATAAAATCAACGAAATACTTATGACAATGTGTATTCGCACCATAGTTGTTGTCCAGTCCACACAACTCAATCACAAGGCTTTCAGAAGTCCTTCAGTAAACTATGACAATGACATTCCTTTGTTGCTGTTTTATCCCCTGTTATGTGATGGAATTGTAGTTTGATATGTGTTGGACTTGTAACTGACTCGTCAACTCTCATCTGTCATTCAGTGAACACATCCACTGATATTAGAGATAAACTGCTGCACTATTATTTTCTCTACTTTTCAAGTCCTTAAAATTGTTCTAAGACCTTCACAGCTCCCTGGGGAGTATACAGCTCAATGCAGCCATATTGGCACGAAGTGCTAATTCAAACAATATTTACTCCTAGATGAGAAGCAGCAGTTTGTGACAAAGTGTCTTGCCCAAGGACACAACACTGCAACTCCCGATCGGACTCAAACCCAACAATCTGCAAAATTACCCACAAGATCTTGAGTTTTATCCTCAAGAGAACAAGCCCTTGGCACAGCAGATATTAATGTACTTTCATAGTTATAATATGGGATTGATCCCAGATAACGACATTAAATATTTTCACATGAATTCCTCATCTTCTTTGTTTTCTGTTTTCTTTGACAGCTATTTGACCCTGTTGACATTGCATCGATGTTGCACCATAAATATTGATTGGAAAGATAATGAGAATTAACTCCAACCTTGCGACTTCATCCACGACTGCCGTCTGCAGCAGCAGGTCACGCGAGGGCAGCAGATTGTCACAGATGAGGTTCTGATTGGCCCGCACCGCCACGCCGCTTCCGACACACAGTGAACACAGAACATCCAGCACCTTTCAGGGAAACAAGTTATCCAAATATTGAAGATAGACAAATAAAAACATCACATGCTAAAACTTTTCACTTTTTGTTGCCATTAACCATTTAGTCACTGTAGCGCCCAAAACCGCCCTGCCTATTACTCACTGTAGCACCTGAAACCGCCTGAGCACTCTATGGTTTTACTGATTCTGCAGTGAATGAACACAATGTAATACAATGTAGTACAGGTGTTATTAAACTGCCGCATGTTCGGGTGGCATGGGTGGCTTGTGCGTAAAGCGCTCGCCTCTCAACAAGGTGACCACGGTTCGAATCCTGGCCGTGGATCGCATGTGAGTAGAGTTGTGCGTTGGTTCTCTCCTGTGCCACGAGGGTTTTTCTACGGGCCTCCGGTTTTCCTCCCTCCAGAAAAATCAAACACTTTCGATCTCAGGCTGTGCTCCGTGGTCATATATGGGTCGATGCGGCCACGTTGTTGTAGCCGCGTCCTTCACAATTCAGCATACCAGCTGCGAGTAAGGATTATTAGCCTCCCAAATTATTATTATTATTATGTTCTTGAACAGGAAGTACAAATATTATGTGTGAATTTCAAACAGAGAGCAAGGTTCAGCTTGAGTGACATGCCGAGTACCCTTCCCTTGGATACCGAGTACCAGTACCCTTGGATGCTGAATTCCCTGTACCTACCTTGGGGTCCCTGCCGTGTTTCTCCAGCTGTGAGATCATCGACTTGATGTGTTGCTCTTTGACGATGTTCAGAGCTTCTGGACTTCCCACTAAGACACAGTGAAGAACTTCCAGTACACCTGAGACCGTGGAAACAATTGCAGTCAGATGATGTTTCATTTAAAAGGTAAATTCTATCACAGTTTTTTATTTGCAATTTACGCCATTAGTTTGGAATGCATATTTTTTGAAAGGGTGTTGGTTAATTTTGAGTCCACAAATTACTCTTCATTGTAATGTTATTTAACCCTGTAAACACACAAAGAACATTTGAAGCAAAGAGAAAATTGTTTGACTATCGGGGTTAACTTTTTAAAATCAAGATTGGAACCAAATTTACAGAGCTCAAGAAACTAGAAAAATCTGTAGAGTATAGAAAGCATTTGATACAAAGAAAGAATTTAAATTTCAATAGGATGTATACTGCCTGTGACTGCCACTCAGGTGATTTATGCTTAAGGCAAGAATCTGCTTAGCACTATATTTGGCTTAGGGGCTCCATGAAATTGCTAGTGACCTCAGAAACATGCTTAAAGGTACAGTCCATCATTTGTAATTTGTGCATTTTGTTCGTTTGAAACAACAAACGTGCTCAAAATCCAAAGAAGGTTGCTGAACAACTAACCTGATGAACTTTCAGCTCAGCTATAAACAATATTCTAGGATCTCGATTTCAAATCATAAGTTGCTGAATCATGTTTTGAACTAACCTGAATTCAGTGTCCGAGACACGTTCTCACTGAGCCGATTGCAGCTACGCGATGTCGCGCACTGATTCGACGAATTAAAGCAACCGCGCGCTGCGTCGTGTCAACGCTTGCGCGCGCTACGCAGAATAAAAAAAAACGAACTACTAACGGAAATTAAGACGCACCGTTGGAAAGGCCTTCTTTCGCTGATTTATTCAAAATGACAGCATGCCAGAAAGAATAATTTCACAGGGAGTTTAGTCCCCTTACTATTTTTCAACCAAGTATGTTTGTCAACAATAATTACGTCAGTTACCTTTTGGATAGCTGCATATGATGGACTGTAGCTTTAACGTTATCACAACTTGACCACTATAGATGGATTACATTCAGCAGCCATCTTGGATATGTGTTTTGTTATGCTCTTTCATGCACAAGAGGTCTACTCATGCGTATCCCTGTTGAACAATTTAAGCGCATGCCTCCAAGATGGCTGCACTGCAAATGATCTATTGCAAGTACAACTTTCTGCTAACTGTTAAAGTTGCTCTCAACATGCTTTTTTTTAGCTTCACCACAAAAAATATACTGTGTTTTTCAATTGCTAATTTTCAATGAGACATCGAGCAAAAACAATCTGCCCAAGTTCATTTATGGAATAAATACTTTACAAATTTCAAGTTATGTGAAGCCCACCAATAATTCACCAGTATTTTCTGTGCATTTTGGGTGCAAAAGCAACCAAAAACAAACATATATTTTCAGAGGGTTAAAATGTCCAAAATAGACAAAGAAAAGTTGTTCCCGTTTAAATTAAACAGTCAAATTGAAAATTTGTCGGAAGAAAAAAGAGCAACTTTAAGCAGCACCATGAAACTCAGCCCAGACTTTCAAGGATCTTTAGCTAACCTTTCGACGCCTGCTGGCTCTCCAATCTCTGTATCAGCCAGTCTAGCCTTATGGCCTGAGCAAACAGGGCACAGTTGTTGTGATTGTCTCGAATCATTGCAGCTGTACAGAGAGGGAGAGAGAGATAAGGATTAATTAACATCACATCTTCTTAGAATTAAAGAGACATTTATCACTCTTCAGTGTATATCCAGGTTTTTGGGGAAGTACAGCTAGTTGGTCTTAATACTAGAGAAGCTTAGGCTGGCCGATATATCATCTTGAATGTACTACAGTGTTGTTTTCATATCGTCTAATGAAGGCAATTTATTCTGAACTCAAAGAGTTTAAGGGTTTGGGGTTTTTATTATGCACATCACTCTCTGCACGAGACTAACTCACCTAAGAGTTGGTAGAGATACGTGAGGATGTCCTCCCAGGATTGACCAGCTTCCTCCCCAGCGATGGTGGCAAAGTCACGGCCGCTCTTGTAGATACTGATCTTGTCTATGGTTTCCAAGACCAACTTGACCATACCCTGATAACAAAAAGGATGCAAGTCATGAGCAGTCCCGTAAAATCAAATTCTCTGCGTACATTCGACCATATCATTGAGGTCGTTAAGAAGGTGGTACGTTAGTTTGGTCTGTAAGTGTTTTCTACTCATTAGATCTCACATTATTAGAGATGCCTCACATTGACATTTCTACCAGCAGCTCATTAAATTGTCTGACATGTACATGTACCTCCGAATTTACGGTATTGCCCTCAGGGGGAAAAAATCAGATCGAAATTAGCGTTAGAGTCCAATTTGCAGGAGGGCGCATGGGGTGGCCTTAATATCTTGAAGGGGGGGGGGGCATTCACTGTGTTTTTAACAATACAAGCTCATTTTCGACTTCCAAAAATTATGGGTGGGTTGGGGATAGAAAGGGAGGGGGGCAAATTCCCTCAATCCCCCCCCCCCCCCCCCCCCCCCCAGGTGCGCTGCTGATTTGGCACTAGTTTTGGGTTCTATCCCCATCTGGTAAAGCTTGCCGTGAATTTTTTTTTATTATCGTGAGCTCTCCGTCAGTTATTTATCTACAGTGCTTATTAAGTAAAGTTAAAAAAGTAAGAGGATCAACCCTAAGTTTAAAACAAAATAAGATGCCTAGAAGACTAACAAGATAACAGGGAACTGATATGTGGACGAGCCTAACCCAGTAGCTAATGATCCACCAAATCCAAGTCACTGAAACAACAACTAGAGACCCTTGCATTATGCATGGGGTGTGTATTCTTGGTGTCGTTGACAAAATTTGCATGACTCCAGACAGACAATATCATGGCGTTGCTAATAGGGCGTCCCTTTTTATTTCTATATTTCTCATATTTTTTTGCCTCTGAAGTAGGGTCGGTCGGACGGAAAAACTAAATTCTGAAGCAGAAAAAAATTACAGTTGCAACCGTATAGACGGCTGAATTAAATGATGCCAAGTGCGTATTGTCACTAGTTTTTTGTTTTTTTACAATGAGTTTATCATGAGTTGATCACTGAATAAAATAATACAACCATATTTGGCAAGATGTAGTTGACTTTCATTATATCTGCACCAAGCAGCTCACTAACGTTTTGGCTCTGGTGGCAGACATGACATACCAGTAAAGGTACAGGTATACTATGGACACCTCATACAATGAGAGGATGTTATACTATGGACACCTTATACGATGATAAGCAACATCCTCTCATTTTGTGGGATTCGACTGGTTGCTATTCACACAACTTCGCAAAATAAAATCTGGTATTCATTTTCAATAGCTTTATCAAGTCACACAGAGTCTGATTGCCTGAATTTTGTATTCATTATATTTGTTCATGTATTTTTTTTTTGTTAAGGAGGTTCCAGACAGAGTCGACAGTAATAAAAAAGGGGTTGTTTGTTTCTTGGGTCAGGAGCCCAAAATAGAATCGGTCGGAAATGAGAACCAAAGAAAGAAAAAGGGACACCCATAGCTAGCTACAAAACAAATGGCTACTTTTTTTTTATCAAAAAGATTGTGAGGGGTCTAGCAAATGTGTTTTTATTTTTAAAGCAAATAATTCAGCTTTAAAAAGTAATGTTCTCTTTGATGTGTTTGTAAAAAAATATCGTGAAAAATTCCAGGGCTATTTAGGAAATCTGGAAAGGCATGTACCTCTTCATGGAACAAGTCTTGTCTGTTCTTGAGAGCCTTCAACTTCTTCTGCTTCTCCTCGTGTTCTGCATGAAATAGTTTGCAAGTTTACAGAGCATGAAATTAGGGGCATTACACAAGAAAAATACCACGTTTGCACATGTTTTAACATAAAAAACAACTATTAGATTACTAAGAAGATGCTAATAATATTGTATTTTTATAAAGTGCTCATATATCCATCAGTTTTGTGTTCAGGGCACTACATCATTATTAGCCCCCATCATTGGGCCCATAAAACATTTATAGCCCATCTCGGCGATTGAGCGTATAGAGCTCAATGCTGCCATTTCGATGCAAAGCCATTTCTGCCCTAATTATGTTTCGCTCCACTCCTGGGTGGGGAGAAGCAATTGGTGGCAAAGTGCCTCGCCCAAGGACACACGCACTATGACCCCAGGCTGGACTCGAACCCACAAGCTGCACAATTACCCACAAGATCGTGAGTTAGATGCTCCACAGACCAGAGACCTGGGCCCAATTTCATGGCTCTGCTAACCACCGAATTCCGTGCTTACGATCACCATTTTGTGCTAACCACACTAGCAGGAAAATTCTGTGCTAAGGCCCAAAAAAAAAAGTCTCCGGTTTCTGGTATGCGCGCGCGTCGCCGTAGCCATGCGCGTCGGCAAAATGAAAAAAATTTTTTTTCAATACAATATGATGTTTCAAAACCGCCAAACTCACTGGTTTGACTGGAATTCTGCTGCTGCACAATTTTAACGTGTTTTTAGAAGGGGTTATGATCGAGAATAAGATTTATGTGGCCTCTCTGGACTCCCATACATTTGCACTAAGTTTAGTCGGGCACCATTTGCAGTCATCAGCCGACATTTGAAGCCAAAAAAAAAAAAAAAAAAAAAACCAGGTAAAAAAAAAAAAAAAGCCGCGTCGCCACACCACTTTTGGGGCAAGCTCCATACCAGAAACCGGAGACTTTTTTTTTTGGCCAAACCCTGTGAGCACAGAATCCTTAGTTACGGGATGAACGCATGCGCAGAAGCAAAAATTCCTTGTTAACCCGTGAAATACGCTTACCGTAAGCACAGCATTAAGCAGGGTTTTTTGCTAATGATAAGCAGGGCCATGAAAATGGGCAGTGACCTCATAACACACATGTAGCATGAAGACAGGCAACAGCATCATGCTTCTGATATCTTATTGGTTGCTATGCATCTTGTTTGGCCGCCTCCCTAGTTTCATTGGCCTACTTCTCCTGCACACTCATGCATCACATTTTAAGCAGCACCCTATTGGGATGTGCGTAGATAATAATGCGTATATGTATAAAGCGCACGTATCCACCATTATTGGTGTTCAAGGCGCTACATCATTATTACCCCGCACACTGGGCCAATGAAACATCCCAAAGACAATCTCAGCTCCCTGGGGAGTATACAGCTCAATGCTGCCATTTCGGCGTAAAGCAGATAAATCTACCACAATAACCATCTCTGCCCTCACAGGTACCCATTTACTCCTGGGCGGAGAGAAGCAAGTAGTGACAAAGTGCCTTGCCCAAGGGCACACGTACCATTGCCCAAACTGGACTCAAACCCACGACCTGCAGAGTTACCCATAGACCACGAATTCAATGCTCCAGACCACGAGGCCACAGCACTCCACATAGATATATAAATTTGGATGACCCCTACATCTAGGTCATTCTGACAATCTACCGGTACCTACGGCCCAACATTTTGAGTCTGTATTCAAACTAGATGCTCCAGACCATGGTGTCGCGACACTCCTAGAACATAAACTTGTGCTTGCAAATGTTTCATTCTCCAGCATATCTTACCACTCTCTTCGGCAGGGAGTGCAAAGTATCCCACCAGGTCCCGCAAGGTGTCGGTGACTGACTCCAGGGAGAAATTCTCCCACTCTCTCCGCTCATCATCATCAGTCCGTAATGACTCCAAGGCACTGCAGAGGGGCAAAATGTGAATTGGTTCCATATGTGATGCGATCAAGCTACATGAGTTGTTTGTCGACCCTGGTCATTTTTTTTTATTAAAGATTTGAAAAAAAAACACAATCTCAGCATTACTGCTGTGAAAACCACATGCTGATACCATCTTTAGTTCAAAAATTATGGAAGTCGGAACACCAAGAAATGTGATGAAGTGATGTGATGAAGTGGCCTTATTTTGGCCTGTATCTCCAAATAAAAATTCCTGACAAACGACTCATTTACAGCTTGATCACTTCACATATGTGAAACCTCTCACAAGAGGGTCGTAATTATTTTTTTTTGGGGGGGGGCTCGATATTGAACTGAACAAAGCAGTTGACTGGAATGTGCTTTCTATTTCAACGTCAGATTTACAAAACGTTCCCTTTGCATGATATATGCAATATATATGGGGTTTTTTTTCTCCACTTCATTCCTCATGAACAAGAAATGTTACTGTACACTTTCATAATGTCATCTGGGTCACAATAAACTGATAAACACAAACAAAATAGATCCTTCTTACTTCAATGGGAAAAATACAAAGTGCCAGGAATTCTCTTTGGATTTGGATCCCATGGCAAAAAGCCAAAAACTACAGCCATTAACAGACACTTTAGGGCCATATCTTCCATGCGCCCATATTCTGGTATATTCCTCTAAAATCACACTATGGGTTTTAACATTGGTAACAAACTCCATATGGCACACAATTGCACATCCAACCAACTTGTCAACCTACGTGTAAGGCTATCGTGAGGGGGTGCTGGAGTGGTTGGGGAGGGGGTGGAGAGGGGTGCTGGAGGGGATGCTGGAGTGGTTGGGGAGGGGGTGGGGAGGGGGTGGGGAGGGATGCTGGAGGGGATGCTGGAGTGGTTGGGGAGGGGTGGGGAGGGGTGCTGAAGGGGGTGCTGGAGTGCTTGGGGAGGGGGTTGAGCAGGGGATGGTGGAGGGGGCAGTGGAGGGGTGGGGTGGCAGTAACTGACCTGATAAACTGGTGGAAGAGAGACGTGCTCTTGCGTATGATGACAGCAGAGCGTGATTCTTCGTCCCGGGCGCGGACCACCGAGAACCCATCATCCATGTGACCATCGGGATGCATGACAACCTGTTCAATGAAACATTCCATTATCAACATCAGTGTCATGTCCAAATAACAAGCAAAAAAAAAACTCTGCCAAAAATTTTCTTTACTCAGCACCAATGTGTGTTAGCAGAGTAAACTTGAGTAATTTTTTTCATACTCATACTTGTACACAGAGTTGTGTTTTACTATACGCCTGAGGACAACCTATTGTGTTTCCCTTTGTCCCTGTACTTTAACACTTTCCCATAGACTAAGCACGTAAACGTACGATTGAGGACAGTTTCAAACAAAAGCACCGTCGTTCGAGGACTGAAAGGATCTTTTGTTATCCTTTTGTGGGTCTGTTCTCGAGCGTAATACAAGACAGAAACACGTAGGCATGAGAATGTACTTGTACTCGTTCTTGCAAGAAAAAATAATCCTGTACTTGTACTCATGACGAAGTACTCATGCTTGTACACGTACTCATGGAAATGTACTCGACTACATCATTGCAAGACAGCATGCACTCTTTCAGTCCTGTACTCCAGACATCCCAGGACACCCTCACACACCTTCAGATCCCCCACTTGGGATACGTCGTCTTGGCAAATGTGTCCAGAGAATGTGGAATGTAGAGGACAACTTTACACAAGGTACCGGTATATGCTGAATTTTACTGAAGTAAACCAAATGATGTTATCACAGTGTGAAAACAACTGGGCAATATCCGGGAATTCTACTGCTCTCCATGTCAACTGACTGCTGAGTTCTCTGTTTTGTCCCTGTTTCAAACACAGTCCATCATAACAACGGAGGGAAAAAAAATTATTGCATGATGTGTACGTGCCTTTTTGAAGGACCCACATCACGATGGCTAATGGTAGGATTATTACCGAGAACCCTCCAATCACGAGTCAACTCTTCCTGTACGCGTAATCCAATCAGCAACATCAGGAAAACTTAAAAGCTTAAGTACATCCCCTAGAGGTCTCGTTAGCTTCGTGACCTTGTTTTCGACATCTCAAAACGCGAATCCAAGTCACAAATCCGAGGCGTTCTGGCAAAATGAGACAGAACTTGGCAGAGGGCAAAACGAGGGTGTGCAATTACATGTAGGGAAGAGAATAAAGTACTCCTCAGAACACTGTTTGTTGTACTTCAATGGAGCATTCCGTTGACAAGTTATGGCAGCTTAAAGTTTGCACTTTATTATGTCTAAAGGTAAAATACTGAGAAAAAGGCCTTCAAGTTTCAAGTTTTGTAGTCGTGCAAATGAAAGATGGCAATCAGTTTTCCATAACACTACTATTCCACGACTTTTATACTGTTTCTTTAAAATATATGTAGTAAACATATCAAAGGTTATAAATATCAATAAATCTGAAAATAACAAAAATCACCTCCCTTTGTTCGTTTGTTTTGTATTTTTTTTTTTCATTTTTCTCCACTATGGCCTGTGCCCAGTTCCATCTCAGTTTGCCAGAACACCTTATAAATGAAAGGAGTCCTGTGGGCCACTCATGACTTTAAAGATCGGATTCAACCTGAAACAGATGTCAACTATCATTACAAAAAAAATCCCTGAGAAGTATGGTTCGTCATGTTCGGAATTTCAGGGGAAAAACCCTGAGGGACACATGACAGTGGAAAATAAATAAAGGAAAGGCTTAGCTAGTTTATGTGCTTAACAACAAATAAGCTGACAACCAGTCAAATTCCATTGAAGTCACATGGCATATTGGCTGGTAACCCATCTTTTCTAAGCAAAATGTTTCCACACTTACAAGAAAGCTTAGCCCCAGACTAAATCAAATTTCAAAATGCAAATTAAGAGTTATTTCCAAAATGTACCCATTTTGAAAAAAAAGTTAGAAAGTTGCTCAGTTATGAAAACGTATTGAGCATACACAGTATACCAACAAAAAACTGCTTCAAAACAACATTTTTCACATTATTATTTCCTTATTTGACTTTGGGTATTAAACCAGGAGAGGGTGGGATTCCAAAATGTGACGAATTGGCATTTATCGCGTTTTGGAAAAAGAACTCCTGAAATCACATTTGCAGAAGTAATTTAATTAATAATGCAACTGATAGCTCCATTTCCATTTACGCCAACATTTTCCACTTTCAGAAATGAATGCATGTAATACATCCTAGTTTCAAGAGAATTATATTCCTTATTCGGAACTTAACACCCCCAGCACACAAGAATGTTCAGTCCCTTTTAATAACAAGTATAAACCTACAGGCTTATCACATTAAAAAAAACACACACATGTACCGGTACGTGGCCTTATCAGAGTCTCTTAGCATCAAGAAAAACTCCCAGTAGACTCGGCAAACGGGGAAACAGCCCTCTCTGGCATGCGGGTAATACACCGACGCTTCCGTCCGGCACGATCAATTTACGTGACGAGACAAACCCTTTTTGCGCTTATCAAGTGGACGGCATGTAATTACCGCCAAAAAAAAGGGCCTTGCATTAGAAAGAGAAAGAGAGGGAACGAATGTTCCGGCAAATCTCAATCACTGTTTGTATTAGGGGCACTTCACGGAATTATAAAAACCTCAATTAAAAATAATCCACAAAATCTAAATGCCAAAAATGAAACATGTATATCGTTTTGAAGCTTATTATCTGTAATATTTATTTTTAAGTTTATTTTTAACAATGTTTAACAGCTCAGTTCTGTGGTTTTAAATGAAAAATAAATTAACGAGTACACAAAAAATCGATTTGTTTGAGTACGCCCGACACGAGGGTGTTTCGAGCCGATTTCTACTATGGCAAAAAAAGTTGGATGAATAGTTTCTTTTTCAAAACATGTACATCTGACATCGTGGAACTACCCATACAAAAAAAATATGTGAATCGTCAGAAATGAGTGAGACTTACCTTTCTATCCACCGGTCGACCCCCTCCGACAGATTTGTCCTCCACCTGTAAGGAATCAAAGATACATCCATTTAATAAGCTATTAAAATTTCTGCAATTCACTTGCTCAAAATGATGAAACTAATTTGTAATGCACCTAGAGAACCTTCAAAGTTTGCAAGTCGTGTTGTTTTTATTTAATCATATATTCCTTCAAATTTTGATTTAATTTGTGCTCCTAAACAATGTGCCCTTTTTGTAGCAAATGAAGGTTTCAACAGCACCAATATTTAAACCTCCATCAATAAACTTTGGTGTTCATTTTTTCCCATGAAGAAATTGGTGGCATATGAAAGATTAAGATCTGTACTTCCACTTCGCTATGGGGTAGTGTGGCTTTAGTGATTAGGGGTTTGAATGTAGCTGCTGACCATATATTGTGTCCTTGGGCAAGCCACTTCACCTTCATTCGCCTTTCTCCAACAGAGTTATAAAATGGATATCATCATTAGCTGGGGAGTACATATAACCTGCGATGGACTGGCATCCCCTCCGGGCAGTAACGTAGTTAGGATTTTTTTTATTGGGGAGCACGGGGGGGGGGGGGGGGGGGGGGGGGGGGGATATCAGAATATCATGGGGGGCACATATCGCAACCGTCCTATTGCAGTTTTTCCCAATTGGGCCCCATAATGCCTTGCTATATCCAATGACATAAGAAGTTGTAAACAGTAAGCCTTTGGCTAACTGAAAAAAATACAACTTACAAAAAAACATTTTTGGTTGCCAGGAAGGAAAAGGGGCATTATCAGTATTTGGTGGGGGAAAAATAATTTTGATTTAATTGGAGCTCCTAAACGATGTGCCCTTTTTTTGTTTCCATAACGCAACTGCCTCGGGGAGGGGGGGGGGGGGCCTCAATCCTCCAATTTCATCCGGCCTCAGTTGGAGCATGGTTGGAGCCTATTAACCATGAACCTCCATATGCCTTTAATATTTTTGGAACTTGCTAATAGAAATGAAATAAAGTTAATTACATATTAATACTAGTCTGCTCTGATGAACAATTTAAATTTGTGATTGAACGTGCCCTAATGTTTTGAGCCACATTTAAAAAAAAAATGAAAGTGAGGCTTGGAATGCATAAATAGTCTGGCACCATCCCATTCAATTTTTGACAATTTATAAAATACATTCAGGGAACACAATCAAAAATGGCTTCCTCGCAAATAAGGTCTATTATCTCCAGAGGCCAATTCTATTATGCCCTCAATCCTGCAAAAACCTCCAGTGTTTCGATTTTCAAAGGCCCTCAATCCTTTGAAATCCTCCATACGCAAATAAAAGAGGATTTTGGAGGAATTTGGGAAGGATAGGGTTAAGAACATGCACCTAAAATTTGCCATGCAATATTCCTGCTTACAAGTACCATGAAATTGAACCCTGCGTCTACAACATCAGCTTTTGTTTACATTTACAAAAAATAAACAATCTCTGTCCCAATAACGATCGATCCCACTGCCTGGGTTTTCCTCGAGTGTCTTCACTCACGCTAGCCAGGCCCCTTACGGTTTCCTCCCGCCATTTAATTATGTGCGAAGCACCCGGGCAATGTTTGCACATGTATGTGTATTAAGAAGTCTAAAGGGCATATTGCAGATATGAGGTTGTGTGGAGTCTCAGCAGGCAAGACGTTAGCAAATAGGTTAAGAACGTCAAGTTGCAAGTGAAAGCAAGCCTTCAGGAAGAAAATCACTTGAGATGTAAAACGTTTGTGAAGAATCAAAATTACAAAGATTTGCAAAATGCCTGTAAGCATTAGGCAAAATGCTCTTGGCAGATCACTAAACAGACAACTGCAAAAAAGAAAAACAAGCCACCGATGAATTACTTTAGGGGAACATTCAAGGTAAACAATTACGGCAGCAATTTAACTGATGATAATGAAGAAGTCTGATATAATCCAATTCAGTTTGGGGGTAGTGTGTAGCAACTTAAAACAAATCTGAAAGACACGGTGAGAAATGCCTGCACACTTAGCGTAATTGGGAAAGGCCACAATCACGCCGGGACACGTTGACAGGATAGATGTTGGAATTACCGGTAGCAAGCATCCTGTAAATCTCCATCTGTTTAGGGGAAGGTAAAGCCCAAACACATGACCTCATCCGCAGCAAATCCTACGTGCCAGAGCTAAACAAATTCCCCCAAGGGAGTTTCAGAAACATTAATGTCAATTACGAGATAATTGGCACTTACTAGCGGTAGCCTCCAAATTCTTTTTTTTTTTAATCCAAGCTTGTGGGGAGTGGCTTGACAGAATTGAAGAGAAAATTGAATCTTGCACGGACTGTTCTTCTTTCATGATGGCATTTATGCACGCACGGCTTCAGAAAACTCGTTATGATATTCGGTCGCTCCTGTTCCGAGAAGTCCTGATAAATTGTCTCAAGTTACGGCGTGATGGAGTGGTGTGGGTCGGTACGCTTGACTGATAACTGCCTATTGAACACATTGAGTCACAGCATGTTTCCGGTTGTGAGATTTTATTGATTGAAAACTGCCACATTTTACCTCCACGAAAATTACTTTTGATTTCTGCATGGTGCCTAGAGGAGATCAAGTCTGAGTCAGGGTCGGTCAAAACGGCTGCGAGTCAGCCAAATTTTGTTTTAGATTGGAAAGGTGAAATGCGTGATTTTAACGCCTCAGAACATACATTGATACAGTGGCGGGGGTGTACATGTATAAAATCATTTTTATGCCTGTGTGGACAACCTGTTTTACTGTGAGTGGATTCTCCGTGACTTAATTCCCTTTTTATCTGCTTATGGTCTTGAAGGTCTTGAAGGGGGACCTACAGTTGCAGTTAGGTTTTATATAGCTACATGTAACATGCAGCTAGGAGTCCGGTTGGCGTAGCGGCACTTTCCTCGCCTTCCACCGCTGTGACCCGGGTTCGAATCCTGCCTAGGCCAACAAGTGGATTGGGTTTTCAGTCCCCACCTGATTCCGTGGGTTTCTCCCAGAATATTCTTCTGGGGTTTTCCTCCCACCTCTAAAACTGTAATTTCTTCTCATTGTCTCCTCTCTACAGGTTTCTTCAGGCTTGCGAGCTAAGTTGCCTAGAGCGCTTTTGAGGAATCCTTGGTTTCATCACCAGAAATAAATAATAATAATGTAAAGTGCAAGATTTCTGGATGGTCCGCCATCTGCAAACAGAACATTTACATTAAGCCCTAAAATTGAACTGTACTGCTCAAAGAATTGTTGAGAGTGAATGTATACTTTACATATTTACTGAAGGTCCAAAAGTACATTTAAGTCAAGGTTTTTGAGAATAACCAGACCGTGGCTTTCATGTAAAAAAAGGCCATGTGTGTCATCCAGGTTTGGTTTCACAGTGTGTCATGCATGTAATACTGGTATGTGCTACTCGACTAGTACATACATGTACAAGTGAAAAGTTTGCAGTGCCACAATGGTTTTGATCAAGGCACTGTAACAAAATCCCTATCCCATTTGTTGGAACCATGCCAGCTTTCAGCGTTTGGTTGACGAAAAACCTTGCATTAAGTTTGAATCACTAAAAAGCAAGGTAATGTTAAAAGTGAACATGGGCCCCTCCTCCCCCCAAAAAATCATTATAACACGATAAAAAAAAAATTCAAAAAAAAAGTTCCAAAACATGGAATAAACATAGTCTATGGAATACCCCCTGCACAGCAAGGGTCTATGGCATGCGAGCAGATTCAGCGAAATGCAAAACAAGACTGCTTCTTGACCTCAAGATTCTGACCACTCAGCGAGCGCTTCTATCGGGTCTTCCGGAACCCATTGTTGTATTACAAAAACACGGCAGCCAAATTGACCAATGAACAGCTTAGTCCATATTTCTGATCGAAATGATGTCACAATTTCTAAAGTTGACTCCAATTGGCTGGCGTGCGGGGTTCCATAAAATTTGCATTGCTGACATTATATCAGGCGTTGGTTACGGAGAGGGCTCCATTGGACAACGGGGGATACTCAGACTAGAACAGGCATGCAACTGGGAATTTAGAAAAAACGAGAAAATTCCAAACCACGCAAGACTTTGTACAGTGTTTGTTCAATTTGTAATAGCATTCATGAAAAGCAAACAAACGAGGAAATCAGCAGATCTGAGGAAAAGTTGCATGCCTGCTAGAATAGACACTGGTCTCGTAAAATAGAAATAAGCTGTAGATTTTCATCTGATATTCAATCCTGATGACAATTTTTTAATCCTGTAACTAATTCCCTGCCCACCCCCAACCCCCCCCCCCCCCAAAAGATCAATATCAAATTGTAAACTTTTCATCCAAAGACACTTTTTTATAACAGAAATACAGGTACGACCGCGGAGGGAAAATGCATACTGAAGCACTTGAAATGCAAGCGAGCGCATAAAGAGATGAAAAATAAATAAAGCCAGTTGTGCCTGAAGCGACTAAACCGTCTCGAAGGATCCGTCCAAGGTTTGACAAATACAATAAGATAAACGACACGGCGGGGAAGGGGCGGATAAACTGTTTTCACATCTTGGGCGATAATTCATGTGTAAAATAAATAGCTTCTTTAGAATTGAGGATAACATTTGATTGATATGAAGTTGTCAGAACGGGACGGTAAACAGGAGTGTCTTGGGAGCAATTTACAACATGTGTTTTTCACTACATTTTCCGCTTCACTTCACTGTTGATTTCAAGTACTCAGAAACATGGTCTGGCCTGCTCCGTGGTAAAACTACATGTATTTAATTCCAATATAACTACATGTAATTTCAATTCTAATGAGCCATAAAAGCTCTAATGAGGTATCACTTATACCCAAATGAGTCAAATGTTTTGGCCAAAAAAAAATAAATACTTGTGCTTCCGATTACACGGCATTCGAAAATAGGGTAGGTAGGTAGGGAATTTTGGGGTTTTTTTGCCTTTTTTTTGTGTACGATCCTATGGAGGTGTCTGCGAGGGTAAAAGGTAAAAGGTGATGGGTTTAGGTAGGGAAACCGGAAGCAGAAATATATAATTTTTTTTGGCCTA